CCTTCCTTCCTTCCTTCCTTCCTTCCTTCCTTCCTTCCTTCCTCTCCCCCTCTCTCCCTCTCCCTCTCTCCCTGCCTTCTTGATGTTTACTATATGTCAGACCTTCTGCTAGGCACATGCATGTGGGCCATAGGAGAAATTAGCTGCAGGGTCAGAGTTAGAAAGCAGGTGGCCTAAATCTCATTTCAGGTGACTATCCACCACTGTAGGATGGGGATGCTGAGGCTGGTGTCCTTCCTCAAATGCACTGTAGTGCTCATGCCCCAAAACAGAGTCCTAGGCTGCTCTGTGAGGAAATGACCAGAGGTGGAGGCAACTTTGGCCTAGGACTGGATCAGGACTCCCATCAGGTTTTTGCTGGAGTTGAACCCAAGCCTCCTTTCTTTCCCCCCCACCTACCCTTAAAAATTTTAGAAACAAGTAGATTTAAATACAGATTCAAGTATAAAGACTTTCAGCTGTGTAACTTTGAGGCATTAGTTCTCCATGGGGCCTGTTTATACCCTCCCCAGGGCTTAGTAGTGTTCTTTGCTTTCATTCATTCATTCATTCTCGTTTAATACATTCTTAATAAGAGCTCACTAGATGCCTCTCTGACATGTGGTCAAGTTTTAAAGAAAAATTTTGCTAATCCAAAGCCCCCTCTGAGCCTCAGTTTCCCCCATCTGTAAATTAGGGGTGTTGATTCATTCTCTGCCTTTCTTGCAGAGTAAACTGAAGAAACTGTTACTTGGAAACCCGGTGGGGTTCTGGCTGCCTGTTGCTGTGCCCACTCAACAGAGGCAGGGTTGAATCATATAAGGTGTTTATTGAGAAGGCCGGCCAACCAAGAAGACAGGGAGCATACGAGCATCCAAAACCTGTCCTAAGGAGTGGCCTGAGGGATAAGGTTATATAGGGAAATGGGGTAAACTGAGGCTGGGAGCCGAATGCAGCTATTGTGCAGCCCCCGAGGTCCGCAGGCATCAGCTATTGTTCTTGGTCACCTGATGCTGTCCCGATAAGACGATATCTTGACTCCTGGTTGGGCCGCCCTGACCATGCCTGTTCAATCATACATTGTCCACAGCTATGTCCTCTCCTTAACTGCTTCGTCCGGGATCCAGGGGAGCGTATGGGCGCAAAGGCCTAGGAGAAAGAAACTTAAGGAAAAAGAAACTTAAATCCCTGCTCACATGAGTATATGTGTTCTACAATTTATAAGTAATATGATTATATTTCCGGCGCTCAAGCTTTGGACATTGTAAGTGCCCCTATCAAAAGGAATAATGGGGGGTTCTTATGTTCGGGTGCCGAGTGAACGAGTGCCCCCTTTGAAACTGAGCGCGACGCCTGCCCTGTGGTAGGAAGGCAGTAAGTACTTGGCGAGTGAGTAAATGAATGATTGAATGGATAAATGTTGGAACAAATGCATTCCTTCCCCCTCCCTGTCATAGTCCCTCTGCTCCTGTGTTAACTTCACAGACAGGCCGGTGGAGCCAGCTCTGCAGCCTGAGATAAGGCCTTTGGCGGGAGTCGCCCCATCACTCCCCGAAGCGGGTGTGGGGACAGAGGGCTGATGCCTGGCTGGTGGAGCCACACGCAGAGGCGCTCCCAGGATGAGCTCGAAGTACCCACGGTCGGTGCGGGGCTGCCTGCCCCTCTGGACCCTAACGCTGGAGGGGGCCCTCATTGTCGCCTTCTTCTTTTTCACCGAGTATGACATTTCCCCAAATAATCACAAGACCATGGTGATTCTTGGAGGTGAGTGCCCAGAGGGGAGGTGGTCACAGAGGCTGATAGGGGCAGGGGCAAAGGAGGTCTGTGGTCCTCCGAGAGCCTAAGTGTTCCTTTCCATGGTCTCGGAGGAAAGGGGTTCTCTCATCTTCTTCCATAGATTGCACGAAGATGCAGCTAACAATGCAGGCTCTTTTTTAGGACCAGCATGGGCATCACCTCTTCTATGAAGCCTTCCTTGATTTGTCAGAGCAGAACGAGGAGGCTCCTCTTCTGTGTTCCCAGGATTCCCTTTGCCAAATAGTCATCATAATTCTCTGCTTCCCCCAACTTCTCTCTCCTTAGCAGCAAGGAATTTCACATTGTTGGGTTTGGGGGTTTTGTTTTCTCTTTTGGGTCTCTCGCGCTCTTTCTGTACCAACCGCCTTTTAGAAGCTTTAGCCTATTGCCCCTCCCCTGTCTCCAGCCCTCTTCTCACTTGGAGGCTGAAAAGTCTGCATTCCGTCAGCAAATCCAAAGCCATAAGGTATAACTGAAGGGGAGTGTAGGATGAGTGTTATTTTATATGCAGTTAAAAATAGTCACAGTTGGTGATGAGAGCAACTGTAAACAAGACAGATGTCCACAGCGGTGTGGCTTTTGTTTTTATAAAAATCGAGATGAGTTTTCAGGCATCTCAGTGGGTGGCATGTTGTTCATGGTAATGGACAGGTCTTGAGACAAGGCTGACCCTTGAGTCTGGCTGAGTACTTGCTTGCTCCTTAGTGATGTTAACAGACTAGTTAACTGGAATCGAAGGGAAAGTACCCCTGGGCCCTCAGCAGTGGAAAGTAGGACACAGAGATGACTTAGAGAGGGAAGCCCCTACACCACCTAATGGGCTGGCCAGAGGGCCCTTGCAGGCAAGCAAGGCCTGGGCACGGTTCTAATTCATTTCCAATTACTTCAATTCTTTTCAATCTAGTACAGTGCAATTCAACGCATTCATTCACTCATTCAATCCTGTATTACAACCAATGCGGGATCCAGACACATGCTAATTGGAGCTGGTATTTATTGAGCTCTTACTATACACCAGGCACTATTCGAAATGCCTTCACTGAACCCTCACAATAACCCCAAGAGATAGGCACTATTATGATCTGTTTTTCCGATGAAGAAATCAGGCACATGGGCATTAAGTAATTTGCCCAAGGTCACTCAGCTAGCAACAGCACAGCACATTTAAATTTAGGCAGCCTGGTGTTAGTTTTCATGCACCTAACCAGTATGCTTCACTGCCCCATTTTATAGTGAGGTTGAGTCCCTTGTCATATAACTAGTAGGTATCTGGGCCAGAATTCCAACTGTGTTGATTGGCTCCAGGGTCTGTGTTCTTCACCCCCCGGCTGTACTGCTAACATAGATATAAAGTATCCTCTGACTCACCTTATATAGAAGCACAGATGAGGGCCCACAGCCCAAGCAGGAAGGTGACTCCCCAGCCAGGCCTTGGAGGCTCAGTAGGCGTTCACCATGTGGAAATGGAAGGTCTAGAGCACGGCAGGAACCGTTGTGTGTGCTCATTGGAGTGGGCCAGGCTAGGGTTTGACAATGAAGTGTTGTTGGAGCATAAAGAGGGGGCAGGGCACAGTGGATCCACTGGGTTGAGTCAGGAACTCAACCTTCATTCTGCTGACCTAAGAGGATGTGATGAGTGTGGGCTTGGGTAAGGGAGAAAGCCATTGCAGGGCTGGCGGAGGGGATGGGAGAGGGGCCATGACTTGAGGCTGGAGACCAGTGTGGAGGCTGTGGCGTAGCATGGACCAGAGGGCTTCAGGCTTTTCAGATTATGCACACCATTTCCTAGCATGCACCATGTTGATATGTTATCGTGCATGAATATATTTTGCACATTATACATTCAAATTAGGAAATTTGAAAAAGATCAAAATGAAATATATAGTATTTTCAAATTACTGATCATAATGGTATCAGTCAATCTCAAAGTAAGTTCCTTTGTTATGATTACCGATAGTAGATGGAAATCTATTTCTGAGTCTTCTTGATAATTTCAAATTATCTTGGTTGGTTCCTTGTCAGCTGATTAGGCTGATTATATTTTTAACTGAATATGACTAAGAGTTTGCACAAGGAAAAGTATAGTGAAAATCGTTTATGCCACTAGTCCATTTTTGAAGGTCAGTTGAGTTAAAACTAGGTAATTTAATATGCTAATCCACTTAATCTAATCTAATCCATGAGAACTACAATAAATTATTTAAACCAGCCAATTCTAAAAAAGACATTTTGGAGATAATTGGGAAATCAATATAGTATAAATATTATATAATATAGAGGAATTACTTGCAGAGTTGCAAACTTCACTAAGTGCCTTTAGAGGCAGAATAGCCTAGATAAGTGGTTCTCAAAGTGTAGTCCTCAGACCAGCTACCTTAACATCCCCTGGGAACTGGTTAGAAATGCAGATTCCCAGGCCACGAGCCTTACCTACTGATCAGGAATTCTAGGGGTGGGGCCCAGCAATCTGTGTTTTACCAAGACCTCTAAGTGAGGGCATGAAAGTTTGAGAACTACTGGAGCTAGACTGATTCACATCTTGCCTCTGCCTTTTCTTAGCTGTGTAGACCTTGAGCAAATTATTCAACCTCTCTCTGCCTCCATTTCAACCTCTGTGACATGATGACAGTCCTTATTTCATTAAGCTGTTGAAAGACTGAAATAATTAACACATATAAAGACTTGACAAGAGAGTTAGCTTTTACTATTAATAAACTTTAATTTTTTATTTTTTTAAGTAAAAATAAGCAGCCCCTGGCCAGTGTGGCTAAGTGGTTAGGGGGTCGGCCCATGCACTGAAGAGTTGTGGGTTCAATTCCTGGTCAAGGGCACATACCTGTGTTGCAGGTTCGATTCCCAGCCCCAGTCAGGGCATGTGTGGGAGGCAACCAATCAATGTGGCTCTCTCACATCAATGTTTCTCTCTCTCTCTCTCCCTCCCTCTCTCCCCCCATTCCACTCTCTCTAAGAAACAAACAAAAATCAATGGAAAAAATATCCTCAGTTTAGGATTAACAACAAAAATAATAAATAAATAAATAAATATAAATAAAAATAAGTAAAACTAGAAGTGCTAATATCTTCCTCCAGCAGCCTCCATGGATTGTCTGGAGCATCTTCTAAGGTGTGCGTTCCCTAGTCTGATGACCACTGGTCTGGATAACCTGTGTATGAGGGCCAAATGGACAGGGGGAGTGAAGGAAAAGCAAAGAGTCAGATTTAAGAGATATTTAGGAGATAAAATCAGCTGCACTTGGCGAAAACGAGGGAGTTGTCAAAGATGGCTTCCCATGTGTGGTTTGGCAGGAGGAGGTGACAGTTTCTGAGATGAGAGGCAAGGGGTTCTAGGCTTGGGGTTGAGGTGCCTGTGAGATAATTAAGGAAAGCAGAGTGTATCAGTTATCTCTTGCTGCATAACAAACCACTCCCAAACTTAGTGGCTTAAAATAGCAGCCATTGAATTTGCTCATGATCATGCCTGTGGTTCAGCGCCTGGGGCTGGGCTCAGCAATGAAGTTCTTCTGTGGGTTTCACCTGAGGTCACTCATGTATCTCCAGCCTGGAGGTTTGGCTGAGGCAGAGAGCCTCAGCTGGCCTCATTCACATGTCTGGCAGCTCGCTAGCTGTGGGCTGGCAGCTAGCCCATGTGGTGCCAGCAGACTAGTCCGGGCTCCTTCACAGGGCAGCAGAAGAGTTACTGCGGTAACAGAGGGCAAGTCCTAATGTGCGGCTACTTATCAGGCCTCAGCTTGTATCATGTTTACTAACGTCCCATTCACCGAAGCCAATCACAAGGCCCAACCCAGGTGGGAGGGTCTACATTGAAAGGCATAAGTCATTGGGGGCATTACTGTAACAATCTGTCACACAGAGCCTGCTCTAAGGCCAAATTGGGGGACCAGCCTGGGCCCTGCACTGTGACTACCACCCAGATCCCCTTCCCTGTTCTCCTCAAAGCAGGAGGAAGAGCTACTGAAAGACAAGAGGGGCTTTGCCAGTGGCCGGGGAATACCCCTAAATCCTGGTACCTTCCACATCTTAGCTTTGGCTGCCCCTCTAATTGGGAAATCTTGTTTTCTCTGCTGCAGGGATGAGGCTGTGAGGAGGGGAAGGCAGTGTGGGGTTCCATGGATGGTCCCAGTCTAGGGCTACAGAGGTTTTCCCAGTGAGCAGCGTGGAGGTCAAGCTCAGAGCCTGAGGGCAGAAGGTGGTCCTGGCTTCAGAGCTGATGGTGCTGCAGAGTCTATGGGCCAGAAGGAGGGGCAGGGTGGGTGGGAAGACAGAGCTAGGATCGCTGGGGCACCCAGGAAGGGGGGTACAGTCTTGCCCAAAGTCACACAGCTAGCAAATGGCAGGCATAGGATAATAGTTACTAGCACTTACCGTGCACCCAATGCTAGGTTGAGTGATTTTCATGAACCAGCGAACTCAATGCTCACAGCAGTCCTTTGATCAGGTACCAGTGTTTCATACCCATTTTACAGATTAGGAAGCTGGGACAGAGAAGTAGAGCCAAGCTGTGAACTCTAACCACCTCACTGAGAGGCCCACACTCCTCACCATTACACTATATATATGCTGTATGGAGAGGCAAGGTGGTGTCATGGTTACACCCAGGTAGTCAGGATTCAGATCTTTCACCACCATTTACTAGCTGTGCGACCTGGGCTAGTTACAGCATCTCTGTGCCTACCTTTCCCCATCTGTAAAATGGGGATAATATATAGTACCTACTGCATGAGGTTGTTGCAGGTTAAGGCTGTCAGGCGCTTGGAATAGAGCCTGGTATGTGGAGGGCACTGTATATGTGCCTGCTGTTACAATGATGGCAGCTATTGCCTCATCTCACCCTGCTGTTAGACTTTTCCCCAAGTCCTGGGACTTTTGTAAACATCTCCTGAAGGCCTCCCTTAGACTGCAAAGTTCCCCTCTGGGGCCCAGTCACTGGGGCCCCTGGAGCACATCCATTCCTTATCACCCCTGAACACCTTAGTCAGACTGGTGGCTGATGTGGGTGCAGCACAGGCTCTGAGAGGTGGAGGCTGACGCCGATGGGGATGCCTGGAGCTGGGACCCAGCCCTGAAGTGAGACCTGGGAGGGGCAGGTATGGGCCTAGCACCTTGGGAGGCTGGGAGAGGAAGGGGGAAGAGGCAGGGGCTGAGAGAAAAGAGGGCTTGAAAGCAAATGTTATTTACTGGCCAGTGTGGCGTGAATGGGCTCTGTCAAATTGCCACCCTATTTCATCCCCCTGGCTGAAGCACAGCTCCTCCTTCAGGGACAGTGTGGGTCTTAGGGTGGAAGGCCCTGAGCTCCTGTACCCAGCAGCGGCAACTGCTAGGCCTGATGAAGCCCCCACCCAAGATCCTCTGACTTTCTCTCTTTAGGACCCCACCTCTGCTCTAATCCTGGTGACCCTCCTCTCCCCACCCACGAATCCCCTCCTCTGAAAATGCCAGAGCAGTGAGATCCTTAGAGAGTATCAAATCCAAATCCCAGGTATTACAGATAGGGAAACTGAGGCCCAAAGAGGACAAGGGACTTGCTTAAGGTCCCTTAGCGAGGTAAGGGCAAACAAGAGCAAGAGATGGCCTAGCCTGGTGGAAGGAATTCCNGACTTGCTTAAGGTCCCTTAGCGAGGTAAGGGCAAACAAGAGCAAGAGATGGCCTAGCCTGGTGGAAGGGCACTGTACCAGGAATTCAGAGCTTGGCTCTGCTGCTGGCATGCTGTGCGGCCTCGGGGAAGTTACAGGCTCTCTCTGGTCTCCTTCTATAAAACAGGAGGAAAGTGAAAGGGCCTCCCTGTTCATGAGATCTTCAATCAGTCTGAACCCTATGCGTAGAGTGTTATTGAAAAATGGCAGGTAGGGTTAACAGCAGTGTTTAATAAAAGATTGAATTTAACTATTTAAAGTGAGGTGTGCAGTGTCCAGTTGGCTACAGGCCTCACCACTCCCAAAGAGTCATTGCTCCCTTCACACACATGGCTTTCTGCTTGGCTTCTGAAGGAATCTGAGCAATCCCAAGAGGAACCCCTATACAGAATGCTCCCCGCCCGCCTCCAGCCCACCCCATTCCTAAGGGGATGCAAGCAGGAGACTGAGACATCGCCTGCACCCCACCTTCTCACCCACTCCCCAAGTCCCCAGATCCCATGGAGGTCCTCAGGGGTCTCCTGCATCCCGGTGTTGTCAGATTGACCTGGGAACATCAACACCCACCCGAGCTCTACGTGCAAGACCCTAGGTGTGTTTTTTCAATGAAAGTGAATTTAAATATAAAATTGAAGAAGCTCTTTGAGGCTTAGAGACTTTTGGAGAGTTCTGGTTATGAGAGCTTCCTCATTGTTATCAGAGTCAGGGCTGGAGACCAGGCGAGTTATTTATNAATATAAAATTGAAGAAGCTCTTTGAGGCTTAGAGACTTTTGGAGAGTTCTGGTTATGAGAGCTTCCTCATTGTTATCAGAGCCAGGGCTGGAGACCAGGCAAGTTATTTANTTTAAATATAAAATTGAAGAAGCTCTTTGAGGCTTAGAGACTTTTGGAGAGTTCTGGTTATGAGAGCTTCCTCATTGTTATCAGAGTCAGGGCTGGAGACCAGGCGAGTTATTTATTTTTTTTTAAATCCTCACCCGAGGATATTTTTCCCCATTTATTTTTTTAGAGAGAGTGGAGGGGAGAGAGGAGAGGGCGGAAAGAGAGAGGGAAACATCGATGTAAGAAAGACACATCGATTGGTTGCCTCCCCCACTCACCCTGCCGGGACGGGGCCTGCAACCAAGACACGTGCCCTTGACGGGGACTCGAACCTGAGACCCTTCAGTCCATGGCCCGATGCTCTAACCACTGAGATCACTGCCGAGATGGCGGCGGCGAACAGCCTCCACTCAGGAGGGTTCTCCATGTGCCAGGCACTGTGCCAAGCACTTTCCCCCTCCTTAGCTGGTGGAGAAAGTAAGCACCCTACACGCCACACGGCTATGAAGTCGAAACATATAAACTGCCACTTTTATAGGTCTAAAATGGTCAAATATTGGCAATTTACTATGGTTAACCTAAGGGAATGATGGAGCTGGACTCAAACCGAACTGTCTAAACTCAAAGCCTGTGCTTTCCCTCTTTGTCTCTTTTTAAAGTTGTTTACAATCTACAACTGGTTGTAGAAAATTTAAACACTGAAAAAATTTTGGAAGTAAAGCTCTCCCAAACCAGAGATAGCATCTGCGTGTGTGTAGGGGGGATTCCTGCAAGCTCTTTCCCCAGACCTTTATGCATGTGTGGAAACAGTTGGCGCTTCTTGGTAAAATCATCTTTCCTGTTCAGAGGGATTCTGCGCTCTCTACCACTGGATTCTGGCAGCCTGACCAAGGTGGCAGGATTATTGTTCTCATTTAACAGGTGGCAAAACTAACAGGGCACAGATAGTGTTTTAGTTAAAGGCGCAGGCATCAGAGCAGACCCTCTAGGTTTAAACCCTGTCTCTACCAGCTGGGGCAAGTTTCTTAACCACTCTGTGCCTCAGTTTTCATATCTGTAAAATTGCCATAATCACAGCACCCACCTTGAGGGGTTTTGTGAGAACTAAATGAGATGGTCTGTATAAAATGATTAAAACAGTGTTGGTATTGGGTAACCACATACTCAATGTATTAAAGCTCAGAGATGTTAAAGAACTAGATTAAGACCACACAGCTGGAAGTGCTAGAGCCTTGATTTGAACCCCAGCTTGTCTAGCTCTGGAGGCCAAGCTGCTAACCATTTTTCAGGCTTGGAATTAAGTCAAAGTGTCCACCCTTTTTCTTTCGCTGGACCTCTCTCTAACATTGGGTAAGTCTCCTGCACTCACCTGCCACAGCAGCTCCTGCACCGGCTCTGAGTTTGGGAAAGTGTGGGTCACCCAGATGTCCCTGGTCTGTCTGCTGGCCCACCAGGTCCGTCTCAGCAGGTGGCAAAGGGAGATGGCTGTTTTCTGCAAAGATAATTTGGTTCTTGCCAACAGAACTTTTGGGCCCCCCTCTCCTTCCTCTTTTCTTCATGACCTGAGCCACGCCATTGGCTTCTGTGGCTTTATTTTCTTGTGTTTATGATCAAGAGGTTGAACCTGACCCTCAATAGCAGCAGTAATTACCTTTACTGAGTGTCAGCTCCCTGCCAAGCACTGGTCCTGAGGCTCTGCACTTGCTCATACCATTATGTTTAATAATAACAATAGTTGCTGCATTTCCTGGGCACTCACGATGGGCCAAGCAGGCCCTGACTTTATGCTTAACCAGCTTAGCTCATCTAATCCTTCCCTCAGTCCCGCATGGTATGCATTTACTACACCCATTATTCAGATGAGAAAACTGAGGCTCAAAGAGGTGAACTTGACGTAGCGCCCTCAAATGATCTTGAATGTCCCTTCCAGCTGCCATTCTGTAAAACTAACTTCGGGCAACCCTTTACCCCAGCGATTTTCAACCGGTGTGCCACAAGAATCTTTAAAACACGCACTACCCGACTACTGAGTCAGGGGCACCGACCTCTTTCCCCTTAGACTGTCAAATAAAAATATGACAACAGCCAGCACAGCAATAGCAGCCGGTGTGAACGAATCAAAGTTATATCCTTTTTTGTCAGATCGGCAAAAAATATAAGAACTTGTGGTGTAGCGCAATTTTAGTAATTAGTTTCCGTGCCATGAGCCGAGGAAGGGTGGCATCGCCGCTCTCCCTCCCGCCTCGCCCCCAGGCTCTCCCTCAGCCGTCCTGCAGGATCTCACGGTGATGGCAGCCCTGGGCCTGGGCTTCCTCCCCTCGGCCCTGTGGAGATTCGGCTGGAGCAGCGTGGCCTTCGCCCTCCTCATGCTGGCCCTCGGGGTGCAGTGGGCAGTCCTGCTGGATGGCTTTCCGAAGCTGCTCTCCTCCGAGAAAGTGGTCATCACGCTGCCCAGGTAACCTGCCGGCTGCCGGATTGCTCTGGGTCCTTGAGCTGATGGGGCCCGAGAGGGTGGGTTCGAGAAAAGCCAGGTGTCCCCTTCTCTTTCTAACACCCAAACCATGCAATATTTGGGACATACTTTTACTAACAAATTGCTCATTGTTTACCTAAAATTCAAATATAACTGGGCATCCTATATTTATCTGACAACTCCAGATCTAAGCTCTCCCTAGGTCTTTTCTTTATTGTTGAGTATGATTTTGTAAAGTGACCCAATTAATATGGGCTCAAAGAAAAAAATAATGGAGATAAGACAAAAAGAAATAGAAACGTCACACTCAGCGAGATAGTCTCTTGAAAAGAAAGAAGTATTCTTAGTCCTCAAATGCTAAGAAATCGACAAGAAATAGCCATGGCTTTACTCTCTTTAAATTAATTTTGATCTATTTAGATGCATTCATATGAAATTCTAAGAACCACAAAATTAACCTATGTCACTAGAAGTTGGAATAATGGTTACTCAGGGAAGGCGGTGGTTATGATAGGAAGGGGCACAAAAGAACCTTATGGGGTACAGTAAATGTTCTCTATGTTATCTTGGGTAATGGTTATACAAGGGTGTACATAAATCTTTCGAGCTGTACACTTTAAAAAAAATGATATCAGCGCTTGAGAGGAGGAATGAGGTAAAATTTTTCCTTAAAAATTATTATTTTTGTTTGTTTTATGGAACTCTGAATCTCTGTCCTGCTCAGATGATGGTAAATTCCATTTTAGGCATCTTGGGGAACGTGATACCTCTAAGACCCTGCTAAATCTCTGGGCACTGCTGTTGAACATCTGTCCATGAGCCAGGCACTTGACAAACATTATTTTGTATGACCCTTCGAGTAGAGGTCTAGCCTGGTATACCAGCAAGGAAACAGGTTCAGAGAGTGTAAGGCACTTGCCTAGGGACACACAGCTAAGCGGTAACATGGTTTTAGCTTTAACTCTCTATAACCCTTCCAGCACACTCCAAGTAGTCATGACATAAAACATAGTCTGGTCAGCTTCCTACTGGTCCTGAAAAACTACTCTCCACATTTTTTCTTCTAAAAAGTTTTAGGGCTAATCCCCATGGGGATTCAATAACCCTAGTAATCACATGGGAAGTGACAAAGGGCACTCTGGGGAGACTCTGACAGTGGTGGCCCTGGTCTGGAGTTCCTGCTGCCTGGGCATAAGGTCACACAAACCTTCAGCTTTCTGTGTTTCAGCCTACAGGCATATCTGAGCTGCTCCCTTCTTCTGAGGTCCTGCCCACAGGGACCGGTTTATTGTTGACTCAATCCAGAAAAACAAGAAGAGGTCATTTGCAGCCTGAGTGAACTTCCCTGCCCTGCCTGTGACCAGTTGTGACCCCTGCCGAGACTGGCATCATAGATGTTAACAATGGGTTCCTTCCTGACCTTTCCAGCTGGACTGGGCTGGTGGGTGGTGCGAGGCCTGCCTCCTAGTTGTGTACTCTCCCGCTCCCTCAGCCTCACCTGCTCTGTGCAGCCTGACTTGGCACTGAATTGATTCTGCCTTGAGTCACCCATGACCAGTTCCATCAGGGCAGAGGCCTTTTTTATTCAGCTTTGTCCTTTGTTTTCCTCACATAGTAAGAAATTCTAAATAATTCCTGGTCCCTGTAAAACTCCTTCCCTTGCCCTTTGCCCTCTGACCTTCCCCCTGAAGTCCTTGAGCCTTAGCAGGACCCTACATGGGCAGCAAGCACTGGGGAGGCTGTGTCCAGCCTTCAGAGCACAGGCTTTGAATCAGGCCAACCAGCTTTGAACCTCACGTTTGTCATTAACTGGCTGTGTGGTCATTGCCCAAAAAAGTCACCTCTTCTACTGTCAATATTTTCTTCTGTAAAATGGAGGTACTGAATGGTACTCTAGCACCATTTTCAAAGGGTTACTCGGAGGATTAAAATTTAAATGAGGAAGTCCTAGCCACAGGAATCAGACAAGAAAAAGAAATAAAAGGCATTCAAATTGGAAAAAAGTAAAGTTGTCATTATTTGCAGATGACATGACACTGTATATAGAGAAATCTAAAGATTCTACTAAAAAACTGCTAGAACTAATAAACTCAGTAAAGTAGCAGGACACAAAATTAATATTCAGAAATTGGTAGCATTTTTATATACCAATAATGAACTATCAGAAAGAGAAATTAAGAAAACCTCATTTATGATTGCATCAAAAAATTAAAAAAACACACACCTAGGAATAAATTTAACCAAGGAGGTAAAAGACCTGTGCTCAGAAAATTATAAGACATTGAAGAAAGAAATTGAAGACAATACAAATAAGTGGAAGCATATGCTGTGTTGTTCATGGATAGGAAGAATCAACATCATTAAATGTTCATACTACCCAAAGCAATCAATAGATTCAGTGCAACCCTATCAAAATATCAATGATATTTTTCACAGAACTAGAACAAATAATCCTAAAATTTATACGGAACCACAAATAAAACCCCACAAAAAACCCTGAATAGCCACAGCGATCTTGAGAAAAAAAGAACAAAATTGGAGGTATCACACTACCTAATATAAAACTATACTGCAAGGTTATAGTAACCAAAACAGCATGGTACTACCTGGCCAGCATGGCTCAGCGGTTGAGCATCAACCTATGATCCAGGAGATTTCAGTTCAATTCCCAGTCAGGGCACATGCCCGGGTTGCGGGCTCGATCCCCGGTAGGGGGCGTGCGGGAGGCAGCCGATCAATTACTCATCGGTGATGTTTCTGTCCCTCTCTCTTCCTCTTCCTTCCTCTCTCTGAAACCAATAAAGACACATTTAAAAAACAACAACAACACAGCATGGTACTGACATAAAAACAGATCAATGGAACAGAATAGGGAGCCCAGAAATAAATCCACACCTATGTTTAATTAATATATGACAACAGAGGCAAGAATATACAATGGGGTAAAGACAGTCTATTCAATAAATGGTATTGGTAAAAGTGAACAAATATATGCAAAAAAAGAAACTAGACCACCTTCTTCCACCATATAAAAGAATGAACTCAAAATGGATTGAAAACTTAAATGTAAGATGTGAAACCGTAGAACTCCTAGAAAACATGGGCAGTAAAATCTTTGACATTGCTCTTAGTAATATTTTTTCTGATATATCTCCTCAGGCAAGGCAAACAAGAGAAAAAAATAAACAAATGGAACTACATCAAACTAAAAAGTTTTGCACAGCAAAGGAAACTATCAACAAAATGAAAAGACAACCTACTGAAGGGGAGAGTATATCTTCAGTGATACATCTAATAAAGGATTAATATCCAAAATTTATAAAGAATTCATATAACTAAACACCAAAAGAAAACCAATTAAGAAATAGGCAGCCCTGGCCGGTTTGGCTCAGTGGTTAGAGCGTCTACACTGTCCTCTCCCTCAGTGTCTCCTTCTCTAGCCTCCTTGTATCACTGGTAGTGATACCAGCCCTGTCTCCCCAGCTGAATCATAAGTTCCTCAAAAACAAAAATTGTTTTCTGCTCCTGAATCCCCACACTGAGCTCGCTCACTTGGCAAGGGGAGGCAGAAATCAGTAATAGCGCTAATAATGCCGGCTTCTCCTCAGTTCTTTGGGCCGTCAGGGTGCTAGACACTTATGCGTGAATCCTCCTTCCCGTCCCCACGGCACTGCCATGAGATAATTTTATTATCTTTCTTAGCCTGCAGACAGGGAAACAGGCTCAGTGCAATTAAGTAGCTGCTCGAGTGGAAAAGCTGAGACTGGAAGCCAGGCTTGTCCTACTTCCAAACCCAGTATTTCTCCACTGCCTTCCGAGGCGCAGAGGAGATGAGGGTGTGGGGCCTCGGGCTACAGGTGAAGAGCGCCCTCTACTGAGCATTTGTGAGCAATGACGGCAGAAGAAACGCCGAGGGCAGAGTCCCAGTTGTTGGATCCCAGACGGAGCCCTGAGGGAACATTTGGCCTCTGTAGCTCACAGTGACATTCCTATAAGGACCTCTGAGCATCTTCAGTATGTATGAGAGCGCAATCTCTCAGAGCGTAGATGCCACCCTGATGGGGGAAAGGAATGAAGGAAACCCCAGGCTGGGCAGCATCAGTCCCCATAGGTGGGAATCTTGCCTTCAGTGCCAGGCAGAGAGTAAGAAGATCAACACGTGTTTGTTAAATGAGTGAGTGAATGAATGAATGAATGAATGAGAGTCATCCTTCCTTCTTAGCCATCCCTGTCTGGCCCTGTCTCCCCAGCATTCAGAAGGCTACCATGAGTGCCATGTCCGTGCTGATCTCAGCGGGTGCCATCCTGGGGAAGACCAACCTCGTGCAGCTGGTGGTGATGGTGCTGATGGAGGTGGCAGCCTTTGTTGCCATGAGGGTGATCAGCCATCTATTCCTCTTTGTGAGTCATGGTGCTGTGAGGAGGGGTGAGGAGGTGGAAAGGGTGGCCTCCCTTGGGTGAGGCTTCTGGGACTTTAAAAAATAAAGCCAGGGCCAAATGGGGTTACAAAAGTGTGGTCTGTGCTAAATGTTTAAACATAACAAATGAATGCCTTTAGCTTCTAAAATATGATACAGTAGGAATCACAAGATAATTATGGGAAGTATAAAAAGATAATTAATTCCCATGGCCCCACCAGCTGTGGCCCACTAAGCTGCATGGCCAGTGTCTTCTTTCAGACCAGTCAATGTGTGTCACTAAACCGTACATGTGAAGTCACTGGGGGAAACTGTCAAAAGTCTAAGGCTGAGGCCAGCCTGTGAAGGTGAGGCCATGCCAAATGGTTTTCCCAGGTCTTCTGCTGTAGTGGCGACCCTGTGGTCAGATACAATCAAGTAAGATGAGAGCTGATCACAAAAGAGAAAGCTACCGCCCAGAGAGGGGAAGTGATTGCCCAAGATCACACAGCAAAGTAGTGGCATTTGTCTCATTACTGAGTATGTTAACTTTGATCACTTGCTAAGGGGGTTATTGCAATAATTTGGGTTTGCAGTGATGGTGGCTTAAACCAAGGCGGGGTCAGTGAGGTGTGGTGGTAAAAATTCTGTCAATTTGGGATATGTTTTGAAGGCACAATTGACAGGATTTAGGAGGAACACACTGAGTTATTAAGGATTCCTAAATTTGATATTTATAAAGCAAAATTAGCATATACCTAGAATTTACTAAGACATCAGTTCTGTTATGAGAAACCTGACTGTTTCATCTTGCAAAGTTTATATCACTTACCACTCCATGAAATTCTGCAGAAAAGTAGGAAGCCGTGGAGGTACGTGGCCATGTGGCATTTTGCCCCGCCTAAGTGGACCTTGGCCAAGAGCATTTATGTATGTATGTATGTATTTATTTATTTTTAAATCCTCACCCGAGGATATGTTTTTTTTGCGTGTTTTTTTTTTTATTTTAGAGAGAGAAGAAGGGAGAGGGAGGGGGGGAGAGAGAGAGAGACATCGATGTGAGAGAGAAACATTTGGTTGCCTCAGCCAACCCCGACCAGGAATTGAACCCACAACTGGGTATGTGTGCACCCTGACTGGGAATCGAACCTGTGACCTCTTGATGTACGCTCCAACCAACTGAGCCACACCAGCCAGGGCTGGCCAAAAGCACTTAAAAGCTACTGATAAGACCAACCAGGAACCTCCCTGGAATAGACACTCAGCTACTCACGGGGCTCCTCTGAAAGGGGAGCTGCTGGGCTGGATAAGCTTCAACCTGTCTGGTGACTGTGAGTTACACCCCCGTGTGAGGCCCAGAGCTTTCTCCGAGGAGCATGGGGTTCGCCTGCGCGCAGAGGGTGCGGGCGCTCACGGCTCCCGCTGCGCTTCGTTGCAGGAGGATGACCATGTAAGCATGATGCACGTCCACGTGTTCGCTGCATATTTTGGACTGATGGTGGCCAGGTGCCTCTCAAGACGTATGCCCAAGGCGGCAGAGGAGAAAAACCGGAGGACAACGAGCCCCAGCCTGTTCGCCATGCTGGGTAAGGGCAGGGTGGGTGGGAGGCCTCGGACCTGGGGTGAGCAAGAGGCTCCAAAACACTCTGCAGAAAATGTCTTTCACCAACGAGCCCTGGGTGTCTGAAGCCCCTCTCCAATGACTCATTTCCTCCAGTGGGGCTTGATGAGTTCAGACCTTTGGATGAAGCCTTCCCCTCTAGGGCACCTCTCTTCATTCATATCCAAAGGAGAGGAAAGAATCCCTACATTTGAGTTTAAATAAATTCATCCAATTTGTTTGGCCTCAACTTAAAAGAGGGAATTGGAGGGAAGCGAAGAAAGTAAGGCCCCCCGAAGTGGAGGAAAGAAGAGGGTGGGCACTGAACAGTCATATGGTGTATTTTAAAAAGCGGCGGTGAGAATGATGAACTTGAAGCGCTGGAGAGGCTGAGAGGAAGTCAGCCAGCCAGCTCCACAGCCGGCGACTGAGGATCAGGCCACCGTGCTGAATGAAAGCAGCATGCTGATTTTTTTTTTTTTTTAATATATCTTTATTGATTTTAGAGAGAGGAAAGGAGAGGGAGAGAGAGAGAGAGACATCAATGATGAGAGAGTCATTGATGGAGCCCACAACCCGGGCATGTGCACTGACCGGGAATCAAACCCTGATCGCCTGAGTCCTAGGTCAATGCTCAACCGCTGAGCCACGCCCAGCCGGGCAACTAATTTTTAAAAATAAGCATTTGGCCATCACAAGCCAGGGTCAGGAGGTCTGGGGTTCGTTCATTTCAGTTCTCAGGGCCTTGGATTCCCTGCCTGTGAAATGTGTTAGCTGCCAACTTGGAATTTCAGAAAGGACACATAACTTCCCAAAGTCATAGCTAGAGAGTAATCAAGCTAAGATTAGCCAGCTCCCGGCTTCTCCCGTCTGAAGTCTGCAGAGGCTCAGGCTCTGGAGCAGGAGTGCTGGTTCTGGCCACTGACTCTCTCACCCCCAGGCACCCTCTTCTTGTGGATGTTCTGGCCAAGTTTCAACTCTGCTCTGATATTCATGCCACTGGAAAGGAAGACTGCCGTGTTCAACACCTACTATGCTCTTGCAGTGAGCACAGTAACGGCCATCTCTGTGTCGGCCTTGGTTCACCCTCAAGGGAAGATCAACATGGTGAGGAGGGGGCTGCTCCAGGGGCAGCACTTGGGTCTGCCAGGCCTGACACACATAGTCACGCCCCCTGCCCCCAGGGCCAGCCTCACTACTTGGGAAAGAGCATGGCCAGTGGTGGAGCCTTGTCTGCCGTGTCATGGAGCATAAGGAAGAGAGCTAGGTTGTAAAATGGGCCCTGGAACCTGGGAGACTGTGCACTGATCAAAGGCTTACTGGGGGGGGCGTGATTTAGTCCATCAGCATTGACATCACACAGACCCAGGTTTGAACCCCATTTCTGCTAGTTATTAAAGCCACCACCATGAGCAAGAGTCAGCAGAGAGAAACGAGAACAGAATGAGTCCGCCTTTCCCCTTACCCCAAGAAATGTCAGTAAAGAGGTAGGTTAACCTAGCCACGTGGCCTTGGTTAAGCCACTTAAATTGCGTATGTAAAGTGCTTCATGTGGAATAAGTGCGGGCAGACGTCAGCTGCTATTATCGGTGGAGCCCGGGGATCATGTGAGTTTTGGGTTGGGGAGATGGTGAGAGTGTAGAGCTAAAGACAGAACAAGTGCCTGTGGTGATCAGGGCATGGAGTCAGCCAGCAAGAGGTGGTGGGGAAAGGTCTAGATCGGCAGTGGGGCCCGGAGTGGAGAGAATATGGCCACGGGTGACAGGTTAGCAGTACTAGGGGGAGGTAGGTGTCCCCACTGGTGAGCTCCATGGTGACAGGGAGTCTAGGATCAGACAAGGTGGGGTCATCCAGGGAGGCAGGTTTGGCAATCAGGCCAGCAAAACCCAGAAGCTGATCTGTGGGCCCAGGGCTCCTAGACCTCATTAGACCGTTTTTGTTCTTCTTGTTGTTGTTTTTTGTAGCATTTATTGGCTTTAGAAAAGCATTCCTTTAAACAAGGGATGGGATCCTGAACTCTAAAGTCTCACCCTATTTTATGAAAACTTAAGACCAAATTCTCCATGGTCATACACAGCTTAATCACCGACAGGAGCAAGAATTCAAGTTCATGAACTGAACCAAACTGTCCTGTTATGAGATAATAAGGGGAAAAGGGCTGGGGGTGGGTATGGGCGGAAAGGGGTAAGAAGTGTAAGAGAAGGTGAGGCCCAGTTCTAGAGAAATGAAGGACACAGCAGAGATGCGATCCAGGGCCCAGCTTATTGGGTCCAGTCATGCAGGTGGCATAGGCACCAAGTAGCAAATACTAATAAAAATAATAAAAGCAATAATAATGGCTTATATTTATTGGGCATTTACTCGTGTTCTATGCCATGCACTGGGCTAAGGGTTTTACATGTGGTAACTCATTTAATTCTTACAATAACCTGCATTAAGTAGGCATAATCAAAACCCCATTATCTGGTAGAAAAGTTGAAGCACTGAGCTGTTAAGCGCCCAAGGACACACCACTAATGAGTGTGAGGGTGGCTGAATGCTGAGTAGCAAGACTTTCAAGCTGATTCCCTAAATGCCACCCAATTAGGGTGACTGCTCCCTGAGCCTGAGAAGTAGGGTGAGATAAGACCATTGATAAAGGCCAGGTGGTCTCAACAGAGGGCAGTGGATGGTTTCAGGATCAGCCAAGCAGGGAGGACCTTACAGTATTGCCTTACTACCAGCTTGCTGGGGAACTTTGGGCAAGATGTTGTCCTCTCTGTGCCTCACTCCATTCCCCCACAAGCTATTTCTTTGCAGAATCACGTCCACAATGCAGTGCTGGCCGGAGGCGTCGCTGTGGGTGCCTCATGTCACATTATTGCTTCCCCTTGGATTGCCATGGTGCTGGGCCTCCTGGCTGGGCTGATCGTTGGGGGAGCCAAATGCCTGCAGGTAAGGAGCTGGGCAACTAACACCTTCTGCTTTGTCTTGGACCAGAAGGACCCTGGGACCATGGTGGGCCATCGTGTGGTGCCGTAGGCTGCGCTAGACGGGTGTTGACACCCTCTCAGTTTAGCTTCAAAGCTTGGATGAGGGACCCACCCAGGTTGGATGGTGCATTTGTTAGGACCTGGGGAGCAAGTAGCAGAACCCATTCAAGCTTGCTCAGACATAGGGGGAATTTGTTATAAAGCTACTGGAATGCCACGGAACCCAAGGACAGGAATGCTCCTGGGAGCCCAGGAATGGCTAGCACCAGGGACTGGAGTGTTGTGGGGAGCCCAAGAGGAACATGATCTTTTTCTTTCTTTGTTTTTCCTGAATATCTGCTTTATTCTCACTCTGTAGACTCCCTCTCTGTTCTCCTACTGCTATTCCACATGGTGAAATGTGGTATCTCTCTTCAAGAAAGCAGCTGGGTAACATCTCTTGGCCCTAATTCCAAGTTCTTTGAAGAAGGAGCTCATTGGCCTAACTTGGATCTTGGGCCCATCTTTGGCTGGGTGGGGGAGGGGACATGTCGTACACACATGGCTGCTGCCCGTGAACCGTGAGAATGGGGGTGGGAAGGGCACCACCCAGAAGAAAGATGCTGGGTTGATAATCCAGGTCACATCCACTTCTGATTGTTTAGTTTGAAGTGGATGGCTTTTTCTTCCTTCAATATTCAACAGGCACAGATAATACCAGAATATTTCATTATAGCCAATTTGTTATGACACACTTCTAAAAGAAATGTTTAGGAACAGCAAATCTTCATGGGCTGAGGGCTTAGTGGAGGGTAAAGGAGTGTACTTGTGGGTGGCACGGCGCGGGAAGCCGGATCTGATGGACAGTGGGTGTTCAGGGAGGGAGTTGCAGCTCCAGATGAGGAAGAACTTACCAGCAGTTTGATGTGAGCAAAGATGGGGCAGTCTGCTTTTCATCTTTGGAATGGCAACAGTTGTCTTTTCTCTCCTCTGGCTTTGAGGCCCTAAGATGAAAGGAGGAAGCGCACAGCAGGAGAGTGTGAGTTACCGTCAGGCTCAGAGCCCATCGATTTCTCTGTGCTTCAGTTTCCTTGACTCTGTCACTGGGGGGAACAATTAAAGGATGATTCACTCATTCATTCATTGATTCACTCATTCATTGATTTACTCATTCATTCACTCACCTGTTCACACATTCATTCATTCACACATTCACGCATTCATTCATTCATCGCTTATGTTTTAACGTTTATCCTGCTTCCCTAGTCATAGTACAGTGAAAAACATGGACAAATAAGCACAACTCAGTGACAACTGCTCCAGGAGCACATCTAAGCCAGCCTGAGATGCCTCAGGAAGTGCTTCCCAGAGCAGCGGGTGTCTCAGCAGAGGGAGAGCTAACAGATAACTAATCTTAGCTAGACAAAGAAGTGGAAAACGTATTCAGGGCAGAGGAGCAGTGTATTCAAAGGCTCAACAGTGAGAAGGGCATATGGCCCAGTCAGGAAACAGAAAGATGTTCTCATGACTGAACTGTTGGGTTCACCTGAGAGTGTGCAGGGACCAGAGTCTTGAGAGATGGCAGGTGCTTAGGTGTATCTCCTGAGCTAGTTGAGGAGTCTGGGGTTTTAGTCAATGGGGAATCTAAGGAGGGAGCTAGCCTTGAAGAAATTCTCATTTGTATCTGCATCTGTTGGCCCATGGCCATCTGGGAGGCTAAGTGGTGAGGTGGAGGAGCATTGAATGGGAGTCTGAAGGTGTGGTCAGATTCTTTTCTTCTGACTTTTATTCTAATCAGCCATTTGTCTTTGGATGGCAGTTAAGTTTGAGCTAGACCAATAGGTCTCAATCACCTCCCAGGGACATTTGATAATATCTGGAGACGTTCTTGGTTGACACACTGGGTTGGGGTGCTATTGGCATCTAAAGGGTACAGGTGAAGGATGCTGCTAAACATCCTACAGTTCACAGGACAGCATACTCACAACACAGAATTATAGTCCCAAATGTGAGTAGTGCCTGGGTTAGATCCTTGCTTCTCAAAGTGCGGCCAGTGGACCAGCAGCACTGGCATTCCCTGGGACTTCGCTAGAAATGCAGACTCTCAGGATCCAGACCCTCTAAATCCAACTCTGCAGTTTAACAGGCTTCCCAGGTAATGTGAGTGCACGTTCAAGTCTGGACGTGCTGTTTCAGGTGAGCCCTAAAGCCCATCCCCTTTTGGTGGCCCTGGATGCCAAGGATGTGTGTAAAGGGTAAGTAGGGAATGTCAGTCTCACAGGCAGATCTACTTATAATGACCTTTGTTTCCAGGTGTGTTTTAACCACGTGCTGGGGATCGATGACACTTGTGGCGTGCACTACACCTTCGGCTTGCCGGGTCTGCTCGGAGGGATTGCCTACATCGGGCTGATGACATATCAGGCAATCTGGAGCAAGGATCCCATGTGAGTCACTTGGCTCACTCCTTTAATATCCCCATCTAACTCAGGAAAAAATGTGTCCGGAGCACTTAGCTGGGGGTACATGTATTCAGGGCCAGGCACCCAGCAGGCCTCAGTGAGTATTTTTTGGCCAGTTTATTCAGAAATTCTGCCCAGCCCCTAACTTGTGTGGAGTCATCACCTCTTCAGGCCACTGCTTCTTTCCAAAGGGGGCAGCTTAGGTGCAAGGCAAAGGCAGATAGTCCTGAGGCCTCCCAAAAGCAGACAGCAGGGCTGTCAGGCCCAGGCCAGTTGAGTCCATTTTCCAACCTCTGATGGTGTAGGTCATGGTGAGGAGTGTGCGGTGGAGTCAGACTGGTCTTGAACTCTTACAAGCTGGGCATGTTACCTAACTTCTCTGAGCTTTGGTCACCGGATTGTAAATGGACATAAGGACAATACCTCCCCTCACAGGGTTGCTGGAGGCTGCCTGAGGCCAGGAACCGTGTGGTTAAGAGGATTTAATAAGCGAATGTAGGAAAATGGTAGGCACTCTCCCAAGTATTGGCAAGGGTCAAAATCATTAGAAAAATTGCGTGGGCCAAATTCCAGGCTGCCAACCTGGAACATCTGGGGTTGAGAAGAGATGAGAACCGCGGGCCCACGAGCCCAGCACACCTCTGCAAGCCAACTCTCATCAGAATGAGACAGTCGGGGACCAAGAAGCTGTTCCTTCTCTGCAGGAACCCAGCAAAGGGAAGGGCATAGTGACAACGATGACCTCTCTTAGGAGGCCTTTGGTCTGCTGGAAGTAAAGGGCACAGGCTTCAGGGACAGACAGACCGAGGTCACATTTACCAGTCACATGACCTTAGGCATGGTACTCAGTCAAACTCTCTTTAAGATTCAATTTTCTCTCTGTAACATGGGATAATAAGAGCTACATCTGGGGACTGCTGTGAAGATTCAGCCACATATAATAAATAAAGGGCTCAGGACAGGGCTTGGTGTGGAGTAAACGCCCAACAATGGCCCCTTTCTTTATGATTATCGATGCCGCGGCTTCCACGGGAGGCGCGTCTGTATGGAGCTGAAAGATGGAGAAAGGACTGAGCTGGCAGCCCGAACGCTTCGTGTGGCATGGGGACCGTCTCCTGCATTACCGTGGTGTCACTGCGCACGCCAGCTGACTTTCGTTCATTCCACAAGCAGCACTTGCCAGTTTCCTGTCCAGGCGACTGGATGTGAGGAATCAGCTGCCCTGCTCCGAGTCAGGATGGAGGGCTTTTCACAAATTGTGGGATTTTAAGAGGGGACACACTTAAAGAACTTCGATTCACAGAGTGCACTGGCTCTTTTCCAGTTCTCACTCGTCCTTTGATTGTATCAGGGAGAAAGTCTCCACTCGGTGCGGAGCGTCTGCACCCCCGGGACACACACGGACCTCTGGCTTGAGTGACAGGAGAGGAAGCCTCGGGCTGAGACTTGCCCAGGCTGCCATATCTTGGGGAGATTCTAGCTACGTTTTGTTTTCATTGTATCTTTTTCTAGTTCCCTCTCATTTCTCTTCCACTTAAGNATGGGGACCGTCTCCTGCATTACCGTGGTGTCACTGCGCACGCCAGCTGACTTTCGTTCATTCCACAAGCAGCACTTGCCAGTTTCCTGTCCAGGCGACTGGATGTGAGGAATCAGCTGCCCTGCTCCGAGTCAGGATGGAGGGCTTTTCACAAATTGTGGGATTTTAAGAGGGGACACACTTAAAGAACTTCGATTCACAGAGTGCACTGGCTCTTTTCCAGTTCTCACTCGTCCTTTGATTGTATCAGGGAGAAAGTCTCCACTCGGTGCGGAGCGTCTGCACCCCCGGGACACACACGGACCTCTGGCTTGAGTGACAGGAGAGGAAGCCTCGGGCTGAGACTTGCCCAGGCTGCCATATCTTGGGGAGATTCTAGCTACGTTTTGTTTTCATTGTATCTTTTTCTAGTTCCCTCTCATTTCTCTTCTACTTAAGTTAGTGACATAAAGTTTTCTTTTAAATAAGTTTGTTTAAATGTAAAAAAGAAAAAAGAAAAAAAGGAGAGGTCTATTTAAAGGAAATTATTTTTTAAAATAGTATTTCTGGAATGTCACTATGGCCAAGTTTGTGAAAGTAACCCTCAAATGCTGAAACCTGGGAATGATCTGGCCAGCCTTTGCGGGTAGACAGACCTGCCTGGTTTGAGTCCCAAGAACCGCCCATTCCAAGCCTGTGACAGTGGAACCCTTGGTGCGCCTTCCTAACCCGGACCTCCCCATTTGTGAAATACCTGGCTCACGGGCCTGCTGTGAGGATCACGCGAAGTCAGATGGAAAAGCACCAAGCCTGGCACAGGGGAGCCCACCCTGCGTGGGGACTGTTGTGTGGTGATTCCTGCTTCCTCCATCTCTGCTTTCAGATGCATCAGGATAAGAGTGAATTGTGGGTTGGCAGTCAGCAGATTTGGATTTAGCTTCTATTCTGCCACTTAACATTACTTAAAAAACAAACAAACAACACACAAACTATTTTTGTAGTACAATCTACATCCAGAAAAGTGCAAATATCAGAAGGGTGTCACTTGATCAGTTTTCTGACACGTCCGTATAACCAGCACCCAGAGCTCCTTCGTGTCTTTGCAGGCGAATGTCCCACCCCAGGGTAACCACCAATCTGACTTCTAACAGCATTAATCCGTTTCACGCGCTTTCATCCTTCATACACATACACACATGGGATCATACAGGGAGTCTGCGCCCCTGGGTGCCTGGCTTCCTCTACTCAACACTGTCCTTCTGAGAGTCACCCATGTTGTTGAGAATCTCTGCAGATTGTTCATTTTCATTGGGGTATAGTGTTAAATTGTGCTTGGGTTTAATTTATAAAGGTGACTGAGTGACAACAGGGAGAGGTCCATGCCACTGAAAGGAAAATTTAATGTTACTCACAGTGCCCCTAGAAACGAGGCACAGCGCACCACGCAGGGCCACATGCAGGCCAGGCAGCAGAGAAACGGGGGAGCTGAGACTACGCCTTTGGGAGTGCAGCGGTGGAGAAGCACAGGGGGGACATTCCCTACTGGGCAGGAAGTGAGAGCACACGTCAGAGTTTGCGGTTGGGGGTTTGTAATATGAGTTTTGCGCTCCCAAGAAAGCTGACTTGCAAGAAGAGAGGTAAAACAACTTGGCCCATTGGCTTGGCCCTGTGATAAATGAGTACCGAGTAGACAAATTACAGAGTCTGGGAAAACACAGTTAAAACAAGTGTTTCATTGTGTGAATACAGCACAATTTATTGATCCATTATTGATGACCATCTGGGCAGTTTCTAATTTGGAGCTATTAGGAACATTCTAGTACTGCTGCTCTAAAACACTGTTGCCTTTATGTCTACTGCAAGGCCATGTGCATGTCCTCCCAGGGCCGCTTAATTGTTTAAAGTGAAGTCCTGGGATTGCCTTGAAGGACAGCGAACAGGGAATATGTTCAAGGGGGGCAGGCAGGGGAGATGGATCTGATAGCCAAACTGTACCCCTCCTTGACTTGACAGAAATAGAGCCTTCATCTTTAATTGCCTAATGAGGAAGCTCCAGTTCTGCCTGAGGGGTTAAGTGACTTTTCCAGGGCCACACAACTAGTGACAGAACTGGAACTGGAACTTGGTCTTTCTAACTCCTGGTCTATTTCATTACCCATGGGGCCTGAGGATTAAAGTAGCCCAAGAGGATCCTGGAATCCTCCCTCCCTCCCCCTCCTCCACATCTGCACGGCTTTGCAGGTAAATGACAGGGGAATGGGCCACCAGGAAGAGGACACTTGTTCTCCTGATGGCCTTTCCTGACAGTGTCACTACTCATACAAGCAGTGCTTTTTGTTCCCATGACCTCTGCGGCCTGATACCTGAATGTGACCACTTTTGCTTTGTCATTTCTAGGGTCACGCACGTGGCGCTCCTCACCACTGGGGCACTCAGCTTGGCCGTGGCGATGGGCCTAGCATCTGGTCTCCTGACAGGTCAGTGTGACATCACCTTTCCACCACTGCCCAGGCACAGGGCCCGGGTTCAGAGTGCATCTGCCCCATGGCCAGACGTGCACAAGCCCATCCTGTTCCCTGTGAACCCACCTTCTCAGTTCCAGCCAAATGAGGCAAAGGGCTCAGACTTTGATTAAAAAACAAACAAACACAGAATCACATAATTTCAGAACTGGAAAGGCACTCAGAGGTCACCTGCAACAGGTGTGGACTCGGAAGTCCAGGGAAAGGAAGAGACTTTCCTGAGATTCACGAGTAGGGGTGAGTGGTGACGTTGTAGCCTCTTAAAGGCAGAGCTGGTGATTTCCCTCAATTTTGTACAGAAGGCCAAGGAAATCCTTATGCCAAAATGTTTACCTTTTATTTTCCTAGGACATCCATAACATTATTTGGCTCAGCAAATATTTATTCAATATCTAATATGAGCCAGACACTATTCTTAGGCACTAGGGACAAAGCAGTGAATAAAACAATTCCCTGACCTCATGGAGCTGACATTCTAGTTGACAATAAATAGGCAAATAAATGCATACTTATGTAAGATGGTGATAAGTGCTATGAAGAAAAATAAATCAGAGTAGGGGAACTAGAGTCAGTGTGAGGGTGGGCTGTTCTTTTGGAAGGGTGGTAAGGGAAGGCCTATTTAGTAAGTTGACCTTTAGTCAGAGACCTGAGTGAAAAGCAGGAGGGAGACATACAATGTGCTTATTTTGGAGAAGAGCATTCTATGAGAAGGAACAGAAAGTGCAAAAGGCCCTGAGGCAGGGGCCTTTGTATGTTTGGGGAACAGCAAGGAGGTCAGTGTAGCTGACATGGATGGAGTGAGGGGGGAGTGGCCACTGGAAATCTTTAAAAAGAGGGTTGAAGTATGTTTTTGCTTTTGCAATATGACAAAACAGCAAAGAATCTGGGGGAGTTACTAATCTGCCAATCTTACTTATAGGCCAGGTGAAAATATGCACTCTGTTCAGAAACGTTCACTTTTATTCTATAAGTGAACAGCTTTTATGGGTTAGACACTCATATATTGTGTCTAACAATATATTTGGATTGTGTCTAACAATATTGTTTGGATGCCAAACAAGAGACCAGATAGCATAAGCAGACACTAAGGAGTTGGGTGGCTTTAGGCATGTCACTTCACTTTCTCTGGGCTCGGCTGGCTTCTCTGTATAAGGAAAGGATTATGGTAACTAATCATTTGGCTTCCTTTCAGCTCTAAGACATGTATGAAGGTACTTTTTGGAGTTACCTGGGTGGTTTAGAGAGTGGAACTGTCCAGAATTACCTTAATGTACCACGTGGCCTCAGCTTTCAACAGTCTGAGGTGATGAAGTACAGATGAGAAAAATTCCTTCGTCCAGAAGTTTACATTGTCTCCCGGGTAGGGCTGTCAGAGTTAGCAAATGAAAGTATAAGATGCCCATTTTTTAAAATTCAAAATTAGCTGAGCATCCTCCTGTATCTTATCTGACAACCCTATCCCTGGGCTCTTCCACCACTCACTGTATTACCAAAGTCACACTGACTTGCACTGGCTTGTAAGGGACCTGGGTGTGTGTGTTCTGTTTCCTTCAAAAGAGTCAAAAAAGAGATAGTGGAAGACACCTAGATTATTTCTTTAAGAGTGAAAACCAATGAGCTTTCCTCCCTACATACTGTTATGGACATGAGGGAACTGGTTATTAAAGGCAACTTGGACCACGGAAGTGGAAAGTGGCCCCCCAGCAGCCAAAATAGCCCCAACTGCCCTCTGAAAGGCACTTTACTTGTCGAGAGGCCCCATTACTTGGGGTCTGTACACTGTTTAAGGAACAATCCCATCAAGCATGGTTGTCGGGTTTTCAGTTCGGGAAGACTAGAAATAGGTTAGTGGTGGGGCTGGTTCTGAAGTCAGGCACACTGGTATGTTGGAAGTGACAGCAGAGAGCCTCACAGAGGACAAGGAATTCTTAAAATCAGACACAAGAACACAAAAAGCTCAGGCTGCTGGAGAGCAGGCCAACAACCCTCAACGGCTACCTACCTTCTCTGCGTTACACAGCAGTTTCCTAAGAGGATGCTCTTAGCAATGGTTCTGATTTTTTAAAAAGTCTAAATGTGTTCAGTGATGACTCATAAGACACAAAAATACAGTACGGATTTATGTATTTAGATGGATTTTCATTAGGGATGAGTAAGCCTCAGCCATCTGGAAAATTCATGTCGGCGACAGAGACCATTTCTGAGCAATTCTAGCTACACAAGGTGTGCAACTGCACCTTACCTGCCAGTATCAGTTGGACGCATGCACAACAAAAGTGAAACATGAGCATACGCATGCTTACTCTTGTTCGGCACTGCTGAATACGAGACGGTCATCGTTAAAAACGCGCAGATAAATGTCGGAAAGGCATTTCCCTGCTTCGTGGGAGGGTGAGTGCTCGCTCCCGAACGCTGGGCGCGCGGCAGGTTCGCGCAGCTGGGGGAGCGCACAGGGCCACGCTCCCTGCGCAGGGGCTGCACCGGTGAAGAGAGGCGCAGAAGCAGCTGTTATAAACTCCTTTCCTAGCTGCACGGCGGCATCCGGCTGAGGCTGGCGAGAGCTTATTGGCTCTACAAAGGCACCTACTTTGAGTAGCTTGCCACGGTGGCTCTTGCGTTTTAAATGGATAAGCTTTTAAAGAGGGGCACCGTCCGGCAGGGCCACTCTTGGGAAGCATGTCAGATCCATGGTTATCCTATACCTCTCGGCATAACTTCATTACTTGGAAATAATTGCTCTTGCCCATTCCTGTTAAAAGATGTCTATAGAGTTAATTAAGTTGGTCCAGGAAGAACAATGCTTCGACTTGTCTGCCTCCTGGTTGTGGGAGAAAAAATGGTATGATATTTTGATTACGAGATAACACATGCTGTGCTCCTAATGTTTAACATTTTACTATGAATTTAAACAGGTTTACTTTTACAACTCAAAATATGGAGAGCACCTCATGCGGCTAAATATTTTGATGATCAAGCTTTCTGGGAGGTAAGTTTTTTTAACCTATTAATGTCATAGATTTTGAGTGAATGAACTTAAAACGATATCAAGGCATATATGTTCATTTGGTGTTTATGCGAGTAAAATAAAAACAAATGAAAATGACGTAAGGAGCGTGGAAGGAGCAAATCCATGATGTGCACGTGTGTGTGTGTGTGTGTGTGTGTCCGCGCGCGAGTGTGTAGGGTGGGGAGGTGGTAAAGGCTACCATTTCCCTGATGCCCGAAAGTCACTGAGGGCCAGGGATAAAAGAACTGTCTTTGGCCACACTTCTCTCCACATGGAGTCATCAAAGTGGGCAAAGTTTGCTGTGAAGGTGATAGAATCCCGAATGCAAGAGCCAGAAGGACCGCGGGGGCCAGCAAGTCTAATCCCCTCACTTGGCAGATGCTCAGAGGGGAGCCAGGACTGCCCGAGTTCTCACAGTGCTTGAGTGACAGAGCTGAATCTAAAACAACTCTTGGTAAATTACAGCTGGTGGACACAAGAAAACTTGTAGTATAGAAGTCGGGGGTTATTTAGCCGAGGGTCCTGGAGCTCACACAAGTCACTTGCTGAGAGTCTCTGTAACATTGTCGCATTCGTTGCCATGACTAGGCTAGAGCCTGTCACCCACTGCCCTCCACCCTTTGACCTACACTCATAGCTCACGAAGCACTCTGATGTGTGTCGCCTTAGGTAATCTTCCAATCAAAGCTGAGGTTGGGCAAGCGGGGATCAATATTGCCTGTTATAAATGGGAAGTTGGAGCCAATAGAGGTCAGGCTAATGCCCAGCATCGTACTTTGTGAGTGGCAGAGACAAGCCCAGGACCAGGCCTTGAGAGTCCCATGCCAATCCTTTCTCCACCGCATGCCGACGGACTCATCACTGAAGGGAAGAGAACCAGCTTTACTATGGGGCATTTCTGTCTGTAGGGGCAAAACAGAGACCCTCTCCCTGTCTCTGTCCCTCTCCTCAGTCTCCTTCCTCTTCTTCAAACAGCTTTTATAACTGGCAATGAACCACACATATTTGAAGTCTACAATTTGATACATTTAAATATATTCAACACCTGTGAAAACCACCACCACAATCAAAATACCGAACAAATCCATCACCACCAAACATTTCCTCCTGCCTCTTTGGAACTACTACTCCCTTCCTACCCCACCCCATCCCCAGGCATCCACTGACCTGCTTTTTGTCACTATAGACTAGTTTGCATTTTCTAAAAATTTATAAAATGCAGCCATATGGTGTACACTCTCTTCATCTGAGTCACCCACACTGTTGTACGTTACCTGCCTCACCTTGCACCCATCCCTGGTTGTCCTGGCCATGCCTGGCATTTGCTAGGCTGGGGCACCCATCTCATCCTTGGATGGTTCTAGTAAGATGCACTTGTTTATTCCCTAATTCCATTAAATGTATGACAGAGTAGGTGACAGAGCCCTGTGTGACGAGCTGGACAGACAAATCTATATGAAATATAGTCCTAGGTCTCAAGGAGCTGCATGCACAAATCTTCTATCTTCCTCTAGATTGCAATGATCCTAACTAATGTACTGATTTACAAAAACAGTTTATAACACATTTTTTTCACGTACTTTCACTAAGAGAATGGTTGCTTCCTTCAACTATTTCAATTTGAACTGTCTGCAAAATGAAATGAGCTTCTTTAAATGGTAGTGAGTCCACTGTCACTGAAGGTGTTCAAATAAAGCCAGAGGACTATTTAGCAATGATCCGTGTGACGAGCTATATGAAATGAGGTCTGTCTAGGAGCTCTTCCAATTCAGGTTTTAGGAATGAACCTCTCTAAGGGCTGTGATGAGACATTTTGGTTAATATAAATTTCAAAAGATCAAGGGAGAATCATGTGTACCAATTTTAAGAGTAGAAGGGCTCATCTGTAATAAAAATGTTTGCTTTGCTTTTACAGTTTCCTCATTTGGCTGTTGGATTTTAAGCAAAAGCATCCAAGAAAAACAAGGCTTGTTCCAAAACAAGAGAGCTTCCTTTCACTGTTGCCGACATTTTTGTGTGTGCGACAAACACTGGTTATCACAGTCTCCTTATGTACAATGAAGCAAGATAGATTTGATATTAAAAATAAAAGACTAGAAACTTGTTTAAGTGGTAATTTCGTAACAATTTTAAATAAACGTTCGGTTTCATTAAAAATGATGCTACCAATATTTTCTTGGGTGCAGGCACATCATTAAGGTTTGGGTTAAACTTTGACAATTCTTAGATTTATTTTTCATGCTGAATAAAATATGCTGCCCAGTTAACTCTCATCTGCACCAGCAGAGCAGATGGTAAAAAAACAGGGAAAAATGAAGAACTACTTATATTTAGTCCTTGCAGACATTATGCTTTTATTCCAACAGTTTTCAGGTAGCTCTTACTCCCCAAGCACATTCTAAATTTAACAGTGGGAAAGATGTTGTGGTCAGCTGTGGAAGCGCACTGCCTCCACATTAAAATACTAGTTCCTTGCCCGCCTGGGCGTGGCTCAGCAGTTGAGTGTCGGCCTAGGATCCAAGAGATCACTGTCCGATTCCAGGTCAGGGCACATGCCTGGGTTGCAGGCTCGATCCCCAGTCGGAGGCGTGCAGGAGGCAGCCGATCAATGACTCTCTCATCATTGATGTTTCTCTCTTTCTCTCTCCGTTCCTCTCTGAAATCAATAAAGTTATATTAAAAAACAAAACAAAACAAAACAAAAAACTAGTTCCTTGACCTTGAGGAAATCATTTAAACTTCCATGGTCTGGGTGCTCTCATCTGTAAAAAGAGAAGGTGGACTTCAACCTCTAAGATCCCCTCCAATTCTCACAGCCTATGGATCTAAAAACTCACCATGACCGATTTGCTGTGGGATGGCAGCAATACAGTCTTTCTTTGAGTAGTGTCTTGATCACCAGGCCATATTCAAAACTTACATACAGGGAGAGAACTATGGCCGACATGGAAAGGCACCACAGGTTTAAATCATCTGAGAGATATTTTGTGTTTAATGAAGGGCTTACTGTAGAAAGAAAACATTTCAAGCTGTTGTTCTGAAGAACATGTATCCCATAGTTAGCTAGCTCCTTAAAAATAATTCCCACTTGGCCAAGACGGGGAGCCTGGGGGATAACAGGGTTCCAAAGAGACAGAAACTAAGAATTCCCAGTAGTTAGTTGACGTTTGTAATTATAATTGACCCAGCCAGTCTATTTTGAGCATAGTGGTTCAGTACAGAAATACCATGAAATGTGGAATCTAATTTGTTATCAAACCAACAACAAAATTTGTCACCTGAGTATAGTGTCAAGTCCTATCCTTTTCTTCTTTCCTTCAGGGTACATGTGGAGTCACTGCACATCCCACCAGAACCATGTGTCACAACTGATCACCGATCAGTGGCACAGAAGGGACACTTTTGAGGAGCCTAGTGGCTGCACCAGGAGCCTCTCTCTTCCGACATGCTCACTCAGCCCTTGGGAGACCCTTAAGAGCTACTTACACTGAAACGTTTTCAGAATTTTTGGCAGTACTGTATAAATCAAACACAAAAGTATAGTGAGAAAGAACTCTGACCACTGAATAGTTTTTAAAAACCAGAAAATGTATATATTTCACTTAACATTTGACACAGAAGAGCCCACATTTAAATAAACACATCATATCTTAAGAGCACTTTAATTGCATTTTGGACCTTGGCTATGACAAATACTCATATAAGATGTATACACAATTTCTTTTCTAATTTATTTTTATTTTTACAAATTATACCATGATAAAACTTAATAAAACATACTCGTGAAATATTTTTCTTTAACATTTTATAAGTTAATCAAATGCATACCGCAATAGATTGTTGTTTAAATAGCGATTTCTCATGATTTTAGTATCACATAAATGTAAGCTGGGACTACACTCAGAAATGTTTAGAAAATGGCGTTACAAAAGACTGGGAGTGAGCAGTAAAAAAACAAAACAAAACAAAACAGAACAAACCCATGCAGGGCTGCTGTACAGTGGCAGTAAATCAGATGTTTTCACTGCCACAAGTCTTCAGTTCGGCCAAACTTAAAAACCAGTCCTCTGTGAATAAACAAGAAACATCACATGACTAGCGAGGTTTGGGAAAAGAAGACACGTGAGATTTAGAATCGTGGGAAACTAGCACCAAAGAGTAACTGGTGAGTTGTATGAAAAAAACCCATGGGCTGTGTCAGAACAGAAACTGATCCACAGTAGTAAATTCTTCCACTGTGCTCAGCTGAGCTGTTTATCACCAGCTTCCCCACATCCTTCACTGAGTACTGGGGACATATGTCACTCTTAAAGTTGATCAGTGCTTAGTACGTAACCATTATATGTCTGATTTTTATCAAATTCATTCAACAAGCTCTTTTTGAGTATCAAGGTATTAGGTGCTGGGTGCTAGGGCTATAAAGATACATAAGATCAGTCCTTGTCCTCGAGTGGCTCGCATTCTTTTGCTGCTGCTAATCCTCACCCAAGGGTTTCTTCTCCCAGTGACTTTTAGAGAGAGTGGGAGGGAGGGCGGGGGAAAAACTGAGAGAAGCATCGACGTGAGAGACACATGGATTAACTGCCCCCTGCATTCACCCCGACCAGGGCCAGGGCTCCAACCTGCAACCCGGGTACACGCCCTTGACCAGGAATGGAAGCAGCGACCCTTCAGTGTCAGGGATGATGCTCTAAGCACTGAGCCACACCAGCCAGGGTAAGTTGCTCACATTCTTTGATGACACAATGTGGTAAGTATTGGGGGGGGGAAGGGGTATATATACCAAATGTTAAAGGAGCACAGAAACACAGAATTTATTCTGCCTGACTGTGTTAGAAAAGGCTATCAGCCCTGATCAGTGTGGCTCAGTTGGTTGCAGTGTTGTCCCATGCACCGAAAGGTTGCTGGTTTGATTCTTGGTCAAGGGCACACTCTCAGGTTGTGGGCCTGGTCCCGGTGGGGGGGTGTGTGTGCAGGAGGCAGCACAGATATTTCTCCTCCCCTTCCTCTCTCTAAAGTCAATAATCTAGTCTTTAAAAAAATCCTCCTCATTCTTCATATTTTATGACAATAACATGGGGGAGGGGCACTGGATAGGGTAAATAAAGCAACTAAATATATAAATGACATAAAAGAAACTATTATTAAAAAAGCATTAAAAAGAAAAGATGGGATGAAAAATGCAAAACAAACTTACCCAAAAAAGATGAAGGCATTTTGGAAAAATACAGCAATTCCAGGATATACTATGGCTTTTTCTGTAAAAATAATTGTAATATTTAGAGGTTTATCATCTCAAAACATTTCAGTTTCTGATAATTTGGTGAATATCAGTTTTCCTAACATAATTGATTTTGCTGGTAACTATGGTGGGTTTGAGTATTAAATGACATAATACATATGACAGAGTCGAGTACTGGTTCAGTAACTGACAGATCCCTTCATTCAGTTAACAGGTTCTGAGTGCACACTATGCTCAACGCTGTTTAATGTGCTGAGGATACAGCAGAAATAAAACAGGCAAAATTTTTTGCCTTCACAGAGGTAGACAATATAAAGAATAAATAAGGAGAAAAAAGATATAGGAAGTAGAGCAAGTGATGGCATTTTATACAGGTGGCCAGGAAGATACCATAAGAAGGTGACATTGACATAAGAACAGGAAAGAAGTACGGGCAGTGGCCACATAGAAGCAGCAGAAGAGCACGTGCAAAAGCCCTGAGGGGGGAGCACACTGGTACATTAGAGGGATGGTCACGTAGGCAAAAGAGAGAAATCAGGAGACAGGTGAGAGAAATACGAGGGGCACGCCAGGGGCTGAAGATCCTTCAGAGCTGTGCAGTCATGGAAGGGCTTTGATTTTTACTCTGAGTGAGGTGAAGGGCCATTGGAGGTGAAAAAGTGACATGAGCTGACATATTTTAATAGGATCTCTCTGGTTCAGTGCTGAGAGCAGACTAAATGAGCCAAAGGGATAAACAGAAACCTGTGAGTAGGCTATTTCAGGAAATCAGGCAGGAGACTCATGGACTGAACCATAGTGGGAGCAATGGAGATGGTAAAGTGGTCAATTTGGAGATATATTTTAACAGCAGAGTCAAGAGGATTTGCTGATGAATTGGATGTGCAGTGTGAGAGAAGGAGAGGTATTATCTTTGAGAGGCCGTAACCACCCAGGGTTTTTTGCCTGAGCTTCTGCAGCGATAGAATAGCTAAGACAGGCAAGACTGCCAAAGGAACATTTTGCTCTGATTTTATCCTAGACTAAAGTTGAAATTCTCATAAATTTCCACTATTAGCTGTCAATAATTACTAACTGACAAGCCAAGGCATGATGAATAGATGAATTGTTCATTTTTTCTCAGAATGTTTTTTCATTAATCTGATTTTACCGTAACAGCTCATTTGTATAGGCCTTCATGACAAGGCCACATTAAATACCCTACATTAAATAACTATTATCACTAGAATAGCTCATAATGATCCTATAGAAAGGCAACTTTATAAAATTGTAGATCTGCTACTAATGATTCTCAAGGCATAACCTGGCTCCAAAGGCCTTTTGGAACAAATCTTAAAATTTTATGAGATAAACACATTCCTACAAAAAGGAACTCTGTATTAACAGTTCTATCTGGGAAAGGATAATTATCAGTAATTTCGTATTCTTCTTTGAGCTCTTTTTTAGTCTCAGTTTTCTACAATGAATATCTGCAATTCAAATTTTTTGTTTTTATAATGTGATGGTGACAAAGATTTTGTAGCAGCAAGAGAACTACTTACCATATTATGTTAAATGCAAAAACAAGGTTCAACATTTTTTTATTTATGCTATAATTATAACTACATAAAAAACAGAAGAGCCCTGGCTGGTGTGGCTCGGTGGTAGAGGGTCAACCAGTGGACCAAAGAGTCTTGGGTTTGATTCCTGGTCAAGGCCACATACCTGGGTTGCAGATTTGTTCCCCTGCCCTTGTCAGAGCGCACGCAGGAGGCAACTAATTCGTGCGGGAGGCAACCAATCGATGTCTTTCTCCCACACTGATGTGTGTCTGCCCCTTTCCAAGCTCCCCAATCCCTCCCTTTCACTCTTTAAAAATTAATGGAAAAAATATCTTGGGTGAGCATTAACAACAACAAAAAAGCATAAGAGACCAAAATATTTAAGAGCAGTAAAATTAATATAGTTCCTTTTTCTGTTTTTTTCCTTGTCTATACTTTTGGTAACATGGTTTTAATAATAAATATATAAACAAAATAAAAATATAAATATTGTAAAATGCCTATCATTTTTGCCCAGCTGGCATGACTCAGTGGTTGAGAGTCAACCTATGAACCAGGAGGTCGCAGTTTGATTCCCAGTCGATTCCTGGTCAGGGCACATGTCGGGGTTGTGGGCTCGATCATCAGTACAGGACACGCAGGAGGCAGCCGATCAATGACTCTCTCATCATTGATGTTTCTATCTCTCTCTCCCCCTCTCCTTTCCTCTCTCTGAAAGCAATAAAGACATATTTTTAAAAATAAATAAATAAAAGGCCTACCATCCTTGTCTGTAAGACTTAAAAAGATTTTAATAAAAATTGAGGAAACTCATGATTTTAATTCAAGAATCACATTTTGTTCAAACAAGTCAGGGTTAAATACGAGCTAGATTAGATCCTTCAGCAAATCCTGCTGGGTCCAGTTTTCACAAATCATTAATATTGTATTTTTACTATGATAAGCATAGTCAATTTTATTTGGAACATTAAGTGGTTTTTCATATTTTTCTGGTGTCTCTCAGGTGAAATTTCAGCCAAGGATCTAAAAGCAGGCCTTTTCCTAAGCTTGCCTTAAACTGCCCTCAAATAACAGATGCACATAAAATGTTAATTTACTTTTCTATTTAAAAGGAGATGATGTCATTATCAGGAAGGCTTATTAGCTCAATAAATTTCAATTCTAGGTTGTTAGAGCTTTGCATGGATATTATTCAGCAAGTTAAAACCCGCCAAGTAGCTTTTGAGGTTTTTGGAAGCCATAGCAAGGTTTGTAGCTATGTCCCATTCCTTCCAGGTTCTAGATTAGAAGAAAAAATATAGAAGAAAGTGATACTAAAAACATACGAAACGAAACAAAACAAAATACTGATAAGAAGAGGGGAGTTCCAAGGCATAAATGCATTACTAGTAGCTGCCCTAGCTACATGAAAAAAGCTTTATTCTAAATAACCAACTTTAATGCTCAATTTCAGTATTCCATTGAAGTAAAATATAAGCTGTGCTCTCTCTTACCTTTAGCAACGTAACCACCAAAGAGAATCCACATAGATGCAATCAGAGAGCCAAAGGCCAACATGAAACCAATGAAAAGCCAAATGCGAGCACCTTAAAAGAATTAACATTTTATCAGAATTGTTTCTCATATGGCAGCTGTCAGTTCAATTAACTTTTCAAAAAGGAAACAAGAACCCAAACAGAAAAAATGTGTAACTGCCATAACAGTCTAAAATAAGGAGACCAGATGTGTTAAGTATCTTTCAGCAAGTGAAGACATTGGCCTTTTTCTTGTTGGCTAGTCTGTGTATTTTAAGTGACTATATTTACTTTCCTTAAATATGTACACTGAGAAAAACTGTCCTCACCATCCAATAAAAAGCTTACAAAATATGTTTTACCATATTTAGAGGCTCATTCTCCATATATTTTTAGAAATTGTGTTGCAAAATTTAAGCTCCTCCAAGAGGACTTTCCAACAAAAACATAGGTATACTCAACAAAAAATTCATATTCAGTGATGTGTGAATCTATACACTACCACATTTCACTTTCAGGGACATCAAGCAGCAAAATAAACACGTATTTATTGTGGCTGGCACTTAGGAAAGCTACATTAAAATTATATTAATAGAGGAAGACTTAAATCACATTTATATAATACTTATGAACACCTGCTGTAAAATAAATGGTATTATTAGACTGCCTAAAATGAACTCTGAGCTGAGTTTATTTAATTAGCACAAATAAATTTTAATAAAAACACTGGCCCATTCAATATAGCTCAGCAAACAGAACGATATAAGTTTCTGATTACATACAAAATATAAAATGATAGTTATGAAATAAATAAGCTGTTACTCATAGACATCATATTAAAACAAATACAACTGGCTCTGAAACCCCTGAAGCTAACTTAACAAATTTTCATTAGAGATGTGATGCCATATTCTACTTTTAGCTCTAGCTATTACCGTCCTATTATTATCAACACTAACTGCTAATGTTCACCTATTCCTTTAGAGTTTACAAGGTTATAGTAGGTCAGTGTTTCTGTATCTCTTCTACTTAAGTTTGTCTAGGAAGAGAGTGAACCAAGGAGAGTCTGGAAACATCGACCAGAGTTAACTAGTGGTTTCTCCTGTTTCATTATAAACACAAACAAAACCCCTGCAATTTGCCTATATCCAAGTTTATTTTTGTATGGATGTAACATTTTCGGTTTACCATTTAGATTGCTCAATAAATTTTTGTCTCAATTCTTTGAGCAAACTGGATTCCAGGAAGCTGTGCCACACGTGTCCTATATCCTGACTACCTCGAGTGGAGTCCAGGGGACATGAGTTCCTCAGCTGAGAAGGAAGGGACTGGATGGACCTAAACACTGAAATTCTATTACTGTATTCAGCTTGCAAGATAAAAAAAGTTCTGGAGGTTGGTTGCACAACAATGTGAATGTACTTAACAGGACTGAACTGTACACTTAGAAATGGTTAAGATGGGAAATTTTATATTATGTATTTTAAAAGACACTGAAACCTATGATTTTAAACTATTTCAAAATACTAATTCATCAAATAAGGTTGGCAAAAAAGGGAAGAAAATAATTTGTGTTATAGCTGAAAATACCGTATGTTCTATTTTGCATATATACTCAGTATATACTGTTCTTTACTGTACACTGTATACATTTATATCTACATATTATTGCATAGGGTTATATATTCAAAACTGTGTATTCTGTATTTTAAAGCTGACTTTAACCAAACGCAACTTTTACCTTATGCCTTGGAACCTGTAACTTCTGCTCTAGATACACCTGCATTCTACCCCGATCTGAAGGAGTCACACAAGTGGCCTTCCACGTATATTCTCCTTAAGGATGCACAGTAAGATATGATTTGCACCTATTTACCTGTTTGACCCAGGCAACCTTCACTGTAACTATCACCTCGGACTTGTCCATTTGATACTGCATTAATCCTGTATAAATAAAACGAAGAAATCAGGGTCTCTGACTCCAAGAGGAGACTATTCATGACATCAAATTACCAGATACAATAAGCTAGAGTTCCTCAAATTTAAGCTTAGGCCTCATGAATCTTGAGTATGGGTTCACATGACCTTAAGCGAGTCCCTTCTTAAGCAGTTGTTAAAGCCCTGGCCTGTTTTGCTCAGTGGTTAGAGCGTCTGCCCATGGACTGACGAGTCCGGGGTTTGACCAGCCAAGGGCACATGCCTCAGTTGCAGGCTCAGCCCTGGCCCCAGTCGGGGTGCATGCGGGAGGCAGCTGGTCAATGTGTCTCTCACATTGATGTCTCTCTCTCTCCCTTCCGTTATCTCTGAAAAGCAAAGGGAAACATATCCTAGGGGGTGGATTAAAAAGTAATTAAAGTAGTGGTTATAGTCTCAAGACCAGCAGAATCAGCCGTCACCTGGGAACTCATTGCAAGAAAATTCCTGGGCGCCACCCAAACTTACTGAAGCAGAAACTCTGGGTAAGGGGTTTGCAATCTGAGTTTTAACAAGTCCTTTAGATGATTCTGATGCATTTTAAAATGTGAGAGTGAATTTCTCAATTATACCTCAATAAAAAAAAATTCTCAAAATTATATCTTGCTAAGACTGGAACAATCTTTAGCTTGGTCCTATCTAGTTTTCCATCTGTATGTATCAGACATACTCAACACAAAGAAATTCAAGTGGTAAAATTTTTTTTTTCCAATTCCTGATAGATGTTCCAAACAAAAAGTCTTTCCCTGACGTTCATAGAGTACCACTCTAGATTGAAATAGCCTTGCCTTCTTTAGAAGTATCCTTTAAAAAAATGTTAAATGTCATGGGAAAATGTTCACAATATATCAAGTTAAAAAGTTAAACATTATATACATTTTACACACACACAGGGCTTGACACATGGTAGGTGCCCACTGTGTTGAATATCTGAATTCTAATTTTTAAAATATAAAGTCTTAACTTATTCAAATCTTAGTTTTAGAATGATCAAAATAGTTGTGCCCTGGCCGGTGTTGTTCAGTGGTTAAAGTGTCAGCCCACACGCACCAAGGGGTTGTGGGTTCGATTCCTGGTCAAGGGCACGTACCTGGGTTGCAGGTTTGATTCTGCATGTGAAGATTAACAACAACAAAAATACTCGTAATTATTTTCAGGGACTACATTAACTCAATTACTTGGTACATAAAATAAATATACTTTAAAACTAGCTTCATATTTTTAAAAATGCAGATGTTCCTGCATTAGTGGTTCTTAGCTCTTATTTTTCCTTGCTGAGCCACTTGAATAAACTTCACAACTTTCTGTAAGATAGCCATGACTCTGCCTTGTCAATCTTAACTATTAAAAACATTCTCAATCTCTAGTTGTTCTCTGATATTACTAGTTTTATATATAATCTCAAACTTACAAAAAAGTTCCAAGTACATTTCAAACAAATTTTTTCCCCTGAAACATTTGAAAGTTGCCAACATGATGCCCCACAATCCCAGGAACTGTACTTCCTACAAACAAGACATACAATTATATGTAGTTCCCACAAACAAGACAGTTCTACGGAACCACAATACAATCATCAAAATCAGGAAATGAGCAAGGATTCATTACCATTTAATCTTCAGACCTCATTCAAGTTCCCCAACTGTCCCAATAATGCTCTTAATAGCAAAAGGATCCTGTTCAGAATCATGAGGTACATTTTGTACTAATGACTCTTCAGTCTCCTCAGTCTGGAACAGTTAGTCCTTCAGTCTTCTTTGGCTTTTATTACCCTGACCCTTTACTCCAGTCTTACTGGTCTCCATGCCACAGAGCCCTTGTACTTGCTGTTGTCTGAAATGATTCTCTCTTATATGTATATTTCCATGATGAGTTCCTTCATTTCTACAAGTCTTTACTTAAAAAACACCTTCTTGGTGAGGCATTCCTTGACTTCACTTAAAATCTCTACAACCCCTGCTGACATCTCATGTCTCTCTTCTCTGCTTTTTCTTGCTAGGGCTTATCATTATCTAATATGCCATGTATTTAATTTATTTCTCTTTTGTTACTATCTGCCTCATTCATTAGAGTATAAATTCCAAAAAGGCAAGGTTTTTCCTGTTACATTCACAACTGCATTTCCCGTTTTGACAGTAGAGTCTGGGAATATAAAAGCTTAATAACTATTTGTTAGATGAATAAATAAACACTTAAGACAAAGTACATGTTTCTGACCTAAAAGTAACGTTATAAACACTGGTAGTATAGAAATAAGAGAGCTGAGAGAAGCTGGGAGATAGAAGTGAAAGAGGAGAGATAAGAATAGAAAAGAGGGCTGTTGCTATTCTTTATAAGTCCTCTACTATTTGACTTTTAAACAATGCCCAATATGTTAACTTCACAACATTTCAAAAATTTGAATCTACTCAACTATATGTAAAACATTACTATTTTGTGACAACCTATGTAATTAGTGCCACTGACAATGACACTTACATTAGGAAGGCGATGGTTGCTATGACACCACAGGCATGGTATGAATGGTTGAACTGTTCCATAGTGGGGTAAATGACAGCTGCATCTATGATAATCCACCAGCCTGTAAAAAACTAAAACAAACAAACAAAAAAGGGGATACCAAGGAGAAATTTCATATATTAATTTCATATATTACTGGCTAAAAAGAAAGCAAGGTATTAAAGTGAAGAGATCCCTTCCAATGAATTTCAATTTTCTCTTAAATGTTCCAGCAATTTCTTACATGTAATTGGCACATAGCTTAATATATGATTAAGATATTAGATCCCTTAAGTCTGACAGCAATGAATATTTATTAACATGAACTTCTTTTCTAAGTCTACTTTAGTCATTATTTTATATTTTCATAATAAAGTCTACAATCTAACTTTGTGACATAGAAATAAGTTACAATATCTCATGGCAGGAGAAAGTGATTCAGGTTCCCACTGAGAGGAGTGACCTGCTGCTGATATATTATAAGCCTCCAGAAAGATATATTTATTGAAAAATAAAAAAATTCAAAACAATATGGAGAATAATTATTGTTGATGGAGGAATTGTAGCTATCCTCTGGATGCTGTTAAGTTATGGCTGTAGTTCTGCTTTTCCTTTTGATAATTACAGTGCAGTCTACAAATGGTTTCAGGTGTGATACTAAATTCAATTTAGCACCAAATTACAATTTATCTTAATTAAATATGGTTCTGGATATTATCAAGGGAAAATCTATAATGAAAAACATTAAAACATCACAAATGTTTTATCATCTGAACAGAAACTAGTAAGATATCAACCAAACACTGGCCAAGTAGCTTAGAAGGTTTTGAAAGTAACCCCTTTTCCCCACCCCTACTTCCAATCCTGACCCAGTCAGCACTGGAAATGACGTCTTCTGACAAATTACTTAAAAATAACTATTTTAGACTAATCAAATTATTTTTATCAGGTTGTAGACAGATCCACACTCTATTAATGACATTTTTACTGGTTAACACAAATACTCTTGCACTTTCTTACCCTCAGCTCAATATATTCAAGATAATTATTTTCTTCATAGATGAAAGTTCAAAGTTTTTTTCTGATGTTTATAACAGCAGAATTCTACAGTAGTTTTATATTTGACCATTACTTAGAAAAAGATAGGATTTTTTTTCATAGATTATAAATATCAAACACTAGGCAAATAAGAGATATTTAAACTTAAATTTTTGTTTGCTTACTTAAAATTTACTTCTTAGAGCACATGAAAACATAAGATCATAAAATATAAATATCAGATGCCTTGAAGGATTTGCAACGCTAAATAACAATTTTATACTATAAGTCACTTCTAAGTAACGTATTTTTAACGAGTTTCCTGTTTGTTTTTTAAATGACATTGAGAAGAAAGATAACTCTGGATTATGGAGAAATGCAATCATGTCTCTTAACTACCTTAGACCTGTTTCTAAAACACATCCTCTTAACTTAATTTACTCAATAAGAGGAGGCATAATCCATATAATAAATAAATGTATAAACTACACTGTCTTATTATACCATGGGGGTGAAGAAAAATAATCTACTAATCAAATTTCAAACTATAATTTCAACGAGTTGGAATGAAATGAATAACTTAACCCTCTCATAAACAAATCAAATTATCAACATAAATTAAAATAAATTCAGCCCTGGCTTGTGTGGCTCAGTTGGTTGAGCATGGTCCCATGCACAGAAAGGTCAATTGCTCCAGTCTAGGTCAGAGCATATGCTGGGGTTGAGGGCTCCATCCCCAGTAGGCGTCGTGCAGGAGGAAGGCAGTCAATGTTTCTCTCACTCTCACATCTCTTTCTCTCTCTCTCTCTCTCAAATAAACTTAAAAAAATATTTAAAATAAATACATAAATTCAGTGGTCAAAGATAAATAGTACATATTTTAAAACATCATATAGAATTTAAAACATAAGAACGAACACACCAAAATAATGAAGGCACAAATTATTAATGACACTTACTAGAACACCAGCGGCAATGGAGGCAATAGTATTTCGTTTTTCCCCCCAATCAATGCATTCTGAGCATCTCAAGCCTTCTAGAAATCCAGACATTTTTTCAGGTCACTTAAAAAAAACAAAGAAAGAAAAACAATTAAAGCACTTTTATTTACTTGCTTCAAATATGACTTATGTTCTTAGAAAATAATTAACAGTTCAGGAATAACTTAATAAAAGTGAAGTTACAAATACAGCTGATCCTTGAACACATGGGGGTTTACGGGAACCCAACCTCCAAGCAATGGAAAATCCTAAGGTAACTTTTTGATTCCCTCAAAACTTAACTACAGTCCCTCAGTATCCAAGGAGGGATTGGATCCAGGATCTCCAAAGATATCAAAATCCGAGGATACTCAAGCCCCTCTTATAAAATAGTTATAAAATAGTGTAGAACAATGCATACAGTCTGTCCTCCGCATCTGTGAATTCCTGGGATGGGAAACCCTGGGATGCAGAGGGCTGTATATTTATTGAAAAAAAATCTGCCTATAAGTGGACCTGCACAGATGAAACCATGTTGTTCAAAGGTCAACTGTACTTTAGTTTGGCTACATACACTTCTTCAGAATATTCAGTTTTGCTTTTGATAAATTTCCACATTATAACTTTGGAAAATAAAATCTGGATTCATGTGGTATTTTCCCTTTTTTCTATTTAGTATTTTTCTTAATTTAAAAGATTGTTTTGGCTTGCATTTATAAAATAAATAAGTCCTGGGGAGGGATGTAATGTATACCACAGTGGCTATAGTGAATGATACTGTATTGTATTATCTGAAAAGTTGCGTCCGGTTGGGCGTGGCTCAGCGGTTGAGCGGCGACCTAGGATCCAGGAGATCGGGGTTCGATTCCCGGTCAGGGCACATGCCCGGTTGTGGGCTCGATCAATGACTCTCTCATCATTGATGTTTCTGTCTCTGTCTCTGTCTCTCTCCTTTCCTTTCTCTGAAATCAATAAAGATATATTAAAAAAAAAAGTAACTTAGAGAGTAGATTTTGAAAGTTCTCATCACAAGAAAAAAATATTATAACTATGTATGGTGATGGATGTTAATGAGACTTTCTGTGATCATTTTGTGATATGTAAGCATATCCAACCATTATGTTGTACACCATAAACTAATATGTTATATGTCAATTATATCTCAATAAAAAATAAGAGATGGTTTTGGTATATTTATGAACAAAGGTGGATATGAACAAAGGTGGATATCTAAATATTTAAAAATTTTATGATTAATTCTAATTCTAAACTAAGTTATTAGACGATTTTGATATTTACAGTCCAGGAGCACTAACACAGCTTCTACCCACATCACTTCATTATCTTTTCCTTCTCCAAGCCTGCCTTTTGGTGTGATTTCTACAAAAGGAACACCCATTTCATTTTAATATCTCTATCTCTGATTCTAATAGCTGTTTTCCAGCCAAAAGAAAGTACAACATTGAAATTAATATTCAGACCAAAAAATCCACTGCTAAATTACCATAGTTGACCTAAAACGTCTTAACAAGTTACATAAAACATTCCTCCAAGCTGAGCTGTCCAGACCTGGATTGAGACACAGTCACAGTACCTGTTTCAGAGCACGAACAAGCCGGAATTGCGTATAACTTGCTGATAACCACGAAACACTTGAACTCCTTCAGCGAACCTGAACCCGTCCATAAGCTACCCTGTACAAGCAATCATGACTCTAAAAACATGCCTTCCTAATAAAGAGCAAGAAATCCAATTGTAACCTCCCTATTTAAAAGTAAATATTAAAAACTGTGACATGACCAGTGCTGATCTGCCTTTAGGGCAAGTTTCGTTTTGCAAATTCAGCGGTTTTCGGTCCCCGGGAGGGACAGCACGCCAGTCTGTTTACTTCAGGCTCCGCGCACGGGCCCCGCCCCATCCCGTTTTCCCAGGCTGCCCGGCCGCCGCGGGCCGGCCCAAACCCCGCCCCCACGCTGGGAATGCGGGTGCGGAGTGGCCTGGGGCTCGGGAGGTCGGGCGCTGGTTCTAGCTCGCCGTGCGAACGAGCCCAGGCTGTTCCTCCAGCTTTAAAGCGGGGGACGCAAGGTGATTTTCAGGGATCCCGTGAGTCCCGGGGCAGGGCGCCGTCCGGCAGCCCGGCGGAATCCGGACGCGGTCGCCCCCTCCCGCCGCCGGCCGGACCGGCCAGGAGCAAGTAGCCAGGAAGGGTCCACCGAGGCACAGCCCAGTCAGCAGCTTCCCAGAGGTGGAGACGACGACGCAGGCGGCATCAGCCGGGCACTGAGTCCCGCGTCCGAGCACGACCCCGCAGCTTCCTCCCTTGCCCCCACTCCCGCCTGGCACTTACGTCCAGCCCCGCCCGTGCAGTCGGTCCGGAGCCCGGTGTCAGGCCACACTGGGCGGCCTCACTCTCAGTTTCAGCCAAAAAACAAAACCACCACAGGCCGCCGGATACCCGGATGGAGGAGCAGGGCCTAAGGGGCTTGGTCGCGCATGCGGAAACAGGGCAGAGGGAGGGGCGTCAGGGTGGGAGGAGAAAGGCGGAGGTAGGGCCAGAGGGGCCACGCCCACTGCCCCGACGTTTCTGCGCATGCTCCGGGAGCCGGCCGCGGCGGGGGCTTCCGTTGTGGGTGCGAGAAGTAGCTCTTTGTTCTAAGGTTTCTAAAGGCAGGCGTCCGTTGGGTCTTTGTATCCCTCTTGAGTGAGGTGGTAAGTTTCCTAGGGCGGGGTCAGTCCCTCAGTGATCTCAGGTGTAGGTGGCGGGAAAAGCGCCCGGTTCCGCCTGGTGCAAAAGGTGGGTCCAGCTTGGCGGCTCCACAGCACTGTCGCGGGTTTTCAGTCTTGTTTATTTCCTCAGCGCCCGGCCCCGCCCTCGCCGTAGCTCCGCCTCCGAGAGCAGCTGTTTCAGAATATGAAATGTTGTGAATTTAACTCTGAATACTGTGACCATGTTTTGTAAATCACTCCCGCGAGGTGGGGATGTCCAGGTTCAGCGTGCGGGGTACTCTGCGTCCCTAATCCCGGGGCCGTGACCCATTTATGGGATTTGACCCTTTTTCCCCCTTTGCTTTCAGGCAAGGTTTCTCAACCTAGGCACTGCTGACATTTTGAGCCAAATAATTCTGTTTATGGGGGCTGTCTGTGCACTGTAGGGCATTTGTCTGCATCCCAGGCCGCTGCTCACTCGATGTCAGCCAGTGTCATTCCCACCGGCTGTGACAACCAAAAATGTCTCTACGCTCCGCCCAATGTCAGCCCCCTGGAAAATCCTCAGGGTTAGAACCGCCGAGCGAGTCGCGATCCCGCAGCGGGTCCGGCTCTCGCCGCAGGTATTGCACAAGGACCTACGCGGTCCCGCGGGGGCGACAGTGCTGCGGCTTTAACCCTCTGGGGTGACGGAGAGAACTCAACAGTTGGAGGGGGCACCCAGAAAGAGGTCGCGGAGCAGAAAAGGTGGGTCTGTCGTTTGTCGTTAAGAGCATCTTCAGGTTCTCCTTTTTTCCTTGTAGGGAGACAGTATATAAGTAAGCTAGGGAACCGATGTCGTTGGGTTGTTTAATTTCTTTGATTTCCTCAGAGGCATGAAAGCTCTGTAGCTTTGAGGTTTGCGAGGAGGGGGCATGAACTGACTGGAAGACAAAACTATACAATGTAATCTATAGCATATTTTTAAATGAACATCACTCTTACCCCTCAGGATTAATTCTGACTGTTAAATAACTCAGGGTGGAGAAATCTCGTGCAGGGAATTCTTAATGGAACCTTTTTAAATGTCGATGGATGACTTAACATTAGTTTACCAGCTCTAGGCAGCACTTAACAAATCTTACCTTCAGCTTCTAATAAATTAACTAAAGGGGGGGAGCAGTATTAACTTTCTCTTTGTTTTCTTTCTCCATCCCTTTTACATTTACTTGAATTAACATGATTGTCAAGTATTTTATAAACATAAGTGGGCATCTTCATATTGCTATTATAACAAAGTGCATGCTTAATTTGTCATGCTTACCCTTTTTGGAATATGCTGCAGAATTAATGAGTGTTTGTTCTTGTTCTTCATAGATGAAAGAACTATGAGGAAAAGCAAAAGCCAGCACACCTGAATCATTAGGAATAGCCAACCTAGACTTGCCAGCTGGTTGATATCTTTGTTTTGTTACTCCTCGCCCAAGGATGTTTTTTCCATTGATTTTTAGAGAGACAGTGGAAGGGAGGGAGGGAGGAAAGGGAGGGAGAGAGAAAGAGAAAGAAAGAAAGAAAGATCTATGTGAGAGAGACACATCGATTGGTTGCCTCCAGGACACACCCCAGCCCGGGCAGGGCATCAGACCCGCAACCTTTGGTGTGTGGGCTGTGATGACAATTACAGGAGTATGGAAAAGGTATTAGCATAATTCCTAGTACCTAGAAAATGCTTGATGGATATTTATTAAAAGAATGAACACGAGCTATTAATCTTAGGACCTAAAGCAGGATAGAATCACATGAGGAAGAGCTTTCTGGAGGAGGTAAGATCTTGGAATATTTGTGAAGTGCAAGAGGAGGAGGGGTTCCAGGGACACTGATGGAAGAACAATAAAGCAGGTGGTTAAGAAATGGGCTTTGGCCCGGCCTGGCATGGCATGGCTCAGCAGTTGAGCGTCAACCTAGGATGCAGGCGATCAGGGTTCAATTCCCGGTCAGGGCATATGCCCAGGTTGCGGGCTGCAGCCGATTAATGACTCTCTCATCATTGATATTTCTATCTCTCTCTCTCTCCCTTCCTCTCTCTGAAATCAATAAAGATATAAAAAGAAAAAAAGAAAAAAAAAGAAATGGGCTTTGGAGGCTGTCAAATCTGGGTTCAAATATCAGTTCTGCCACTTAATAGTAGTGTGACTTGAGCAAATCACCTAATTCTAAACCTTGTGAACAGAAAAAAATTGAAGTAAAAATGCCAAACCTCTATCTATTGTAGTAAAATAGCAAAATTTATCATTTTGACTATTTTTAAGTGTATAGTTCTGTGGTATTAAGTATATTTGCATTGTGCAGTTGTCACCACCACCCATCTCCATGGGTACAAGGATGTGAGTTACATTGTTGGGTTTTTTTCCTTTTTAAATTGGATTTAGAGAAAAAAATGAACAGATAGTATGGAAAATTCCCATATTACCCCCCCCCCCCCC